TTCTTAATTGGTGTTTCTAGTTTCTTGGGATATATTCCTAGGATTGGGATTACTGGGTCAAATGGGAGTTCCATTTTCAGTTTTTTGAGGAAACTCTACACTGTTCTCCACAGTGGTTGCACCAGTCTGCATTCCCACCAGCAATGCATGAGGGTTCCTTTTTCTCTGCAACCTCACCAACACTTGTCGTTTGTTGATTTGTTGACAAAAGCTAGAATTTGGAAACAACCTAGGTGCCCGTCAGCAGATGATTGGATCAAAAAACAATGGTATATCTACACAATGGAATACTATGCTGCCATCAAAAAGAAGGAATTCTCATCATTTGCAGCAACCTGGATGGAATTGGAGAATATAATGTTGAGTGTAATAAGCCAGTCAATGAAAGAGAAACACCACATGACCTCACTCATTTATGGATAATAAAGAACATTATAAACTGATGAACCAAAAGATAGATATAGAGACAATAAAGCAACAAGTAGACTGTCAAATTACAGCAGGTAGGGTAGGGAGATCTGGGGGAGATAATAGATCAACCGAAGGACTTGTATACATGCATATAAGTACAACCAGTGGACACAAAACTCTGGGGAGGGGGGTATGTATGGGAGGGGGGGTGATGTTAAATTATGTGTACAGATAATAAATGAATAAAAATAAAATTAAAAAAAAAAGAAAGTCAGCCCTTGACACAAGGGTTAAATTATTTAAAAAGAAAAAATAAATAAATAAATAAATAAATAAATAAAACTGCAAAAAAAAAAAAAAGATAAAATCTTTACTTTGGGAATTTATATAAAGCCACCTCATTCTTTTTATTTATTTGTTTTACCTCATTTTTTTTTTAAAAAACAATATTCCATTGTAGGTATGTTATGTAATTAATTTAGCCTCATTGATAGACAGATTGTTTTTAGTATGTTGCTGCCAAAATGTATTTTGTAGATCTCTTATGAGATTATATATGTAGGGTAAATTTTTAGGGGCACAATTGCTGGCTCAAGTGGTATGTGTATGTAACGTGTTATAAATATTGCTAGCTGCAATTATTTGGATTGTACTAATTTATATGTTCTTACTGTTAAGGGCCAATTGTAAATATTTTAGGCTTTGCAGTTCATACATGGTCCTGGACAACACAAACTTTGGCCTTTAACATAGCTGCCAGGCTGTTATCAAAACCTTTGTCATGCTGCCGAGACCGGTTTGGCTCAATGGATAGAGCGTCGGCTTGGGGACTGAAGGGACCCAGGTTCGATTCCGGTCAAGGGCATGTACCTTGGTTGCGGGCATATCCCCAGTAGGGGGTGTGCAAGAGGCAGCTGATCGATGACTCTCTCTCATCGATGTTTCTAACTCTCTATCTCTCTCCCTTCCTCTCTGTACAAAATCAATAAAATATATATTTAAAAAAAAAAAAAAACCTTTGTCATGCTGAAACCGGTTTGGCTCAGTGGATAGAGTGTCGGCCTGCAGACTGAAAGGTCCTGGATTTGATTCTGGTCAAGGGCATGTACCTTGGTTGTGGGCACATCCCCAGTAGGGATTATGCAGAAAGCAGCTGATCGATGTTTCTCTCTCATCGATGTTTCTAATTCTCTATCCCTCTCCCTTCCTCTCTGTGAAAAATCAATAAAATATATTAAAAAAACAAACCTTTGCCATTACCAACCTGCTATGTGAACATAGTATATCTCATTGCATTATTAATTTGCATTTCACTTATGAGCAAAGTTCAATATTAGTGTTTCCTTTCCTGTGAAATGTTTGTTCAAATCCTTTGCTTTTTAAAAAAGATGCCTTTTTATTGATTTCAGAAAGAAAGTGAGAGAGAGGGAAATATTAATGAGAACAGTTGATCAGCTGCATGTCCCCTACTGAGGACTGAACCTGCAACCTGGGTATGTGCCTTAAATGGAAAGTTGAACTCTGACCTCCTGGTTCATACGTCTGTGCTCAACCACGGAACCATACTAGCCGTGCTAAATACTTTGTTTTTATGTATTTGGTTTCTTGTATCTTTATTGAATTGTAAGAGTCTTTATATGGTGGAGAAATGACCTTTTTCCATATAAAATCCAGTGAAATAATTTTTTAAGCAATTTATCCTTAATCTTTTGGTTTGGTTTGTGTTTTCTTCTCTTTGGTTACATTTGATCTTTTATTATTTTACTAAATTTATTCTGGATTTTATGTCTTCATAAAGGCTTTTCTCCACTTTAAGACTTAAAAATAATAGTTCCATCGTTTTCAACTGTTTTAACTTTTATGTCTAAACTCTAAATCCAATCTGGGAATTATTTTGGTATGAATTAGGGATTCAGTTTTTTCCAGGTAGCTACCCTTTTCACCCAGTACCATAATTTGAATTTAAATGTAGAAAATTTGAAAGTTGATTGCAATATTACTTTTTAGTATTTTCTCCTTTGCTATGGAACTTAAATTTTTGACCATATGAATTACATATCCTTTCCATTCATTAAACAGTTTCTGAGCATATGCAGTGTAATCAGATATTAAGAATAACCTGTTGTATAGAGAAGGCTCTTACCCTGACTGTTATCTCCTTACAGTCTGGTAGATTTATTGCACTATCTATACTAATAAAAGGGTTATATGCTAATTAGACTGGACACCTTCAGTTCTACATTCCGGACAATGCCATGGTGGCAGGGCTGAGGCAGAGGTGGTAAGGGGCGACCAGACTGGCAGGGGAGAGCAGAAAGGGGATCAGGCTAGCAGCGGAGAGGAGTTAGGGGGATCAGATTGGCAGTAGGTGAATGTTTAGGAGCCAGTGGTCCTGGATTTCGAGAGGGATGTCTAACTGCTGGTTTAGGTCTGATCCCGCAGGGATCCAATCTGGCAGTTGGATAATCCTCTGAGGGGTCCTGGATTGGAGAGGGTGCAGACTGGGTTGAGGGACCCCCCCTCCCGTGCACAATTTTTGTAAGTATATATGTGTTTTAATATCTTGCCTTTTTATTTATATTTTCTCCTTAACTTTCTGTAATGAAAATTTAAAAATAAATAGAACGTGAAAAGAATAGTATCGTGAGTATCTGTTAACACTGTGCATGCTGTTATCCCTTCGTGCTTCTCTCTCTGTGGCATACTGTGTGAAAGTAAATTGTACACATTCCTAAGATTTTAGCATTTGTTGTTTGAATTTATTATTACTTACTTAAGTTAAAATGGTAATTATTTCCTCTGTTTTTCTAATTCTGTGAAGAGGGGGGATTATCACAGTAATTATTACATAGTGGTTTTCTAATAAGTACAGAGTGGGGCAAAATTAGGTTTATAGTTGTGTGTAACCAAAACATGGTTGGTTTTTCTTGTATTATTTATTAATTATTGCATTATTTTCTGTATGAACAATTGTAAACCTACTTTTGCTCCTCCCTGTATGTGCTGAATGAATGAGTACTTTAGGCTGTGGGTTGCTATTAAAGGGTTTCAGAGGAAAGTATATATAATATGAAATGATTTATGGTTTAAAAAAAGAATTCTGTTGTCTTTATGGAGGAGGGCATGTGAAGAAAAGTTTCATTTGGACTCTCTATCAGTTAGGACTTGATTATAAGGAGGAATTTATTCTGGATCATACCCAGGGAATTATTTGAAGAACCAACCACATTGAAGGTTTCATCTGGGCTTCAAATAAAAGCAAGGCTGTTGCTTCACTATTTTTAATGTTTGCTTCACTTTGTTTTTGTCAGTTCCAATTTGGCTGCTCATGGATCAATTAAATGTGCTTCAGGGTTAGGGTTTATAAGAATGTGGTTGCTTCTTACTTATGTGGTTTGAGTTAGTACACTGTCAACAGAAATTGGAGAATCTCTCTTTTTCTATCTTGAGTAAACTTGATTAACAGTGAAAGAAATACGAGAAGAATATGCTTGAAATGGGAGCAGGATGCATTTGATTTTAGAGGTACTAAATTGGAGTCCTTACGCGTCCTAGGAGAACATAAATATCTGACTCTTGGATCTAAGCTGAAGTGCTTAGGAAGTCAACTGCAAAAGCCATGCTATGGTGGTGAAAAATAGTAGTCCAAGAGTATAAAATGAGAAGAGAACTGGAATCTTAGAGGAAAGCTGATATTGAATGCATAGAGGAAGAGAAGTATAGACCAGTTTAAAAGGGAGGAAGAAATAATAGTGTCAGAGAAAACAAAGGAGTTTTATCCAGGAAGGATATGCCACATAAGGGGTAAACCACATAAATCCTAATGGATTTGACCATTAGATCATTGGTGATCTCAAATGAGAGCATTTCCAGTGCAAAATTGGAAACCAGATTGCTTTCATCTAAAGTATTAAGATGAAGTAGGAATAAACCACTGTAGATTTTTACAATGACTGTGAAAGAAAGGTGAATGAGAGCAAAGAAATACAAAGCTGTAAATTTTTTATTGTTTTATTTTGGAATAAGACATATAGTTTTAAACGTTAAACATTTTTAAAATTTATTCTAGTGTGGATACATTTTATTTTTATATTTAAATATTTATTATTATAAACATTAACTGCTGTGTTTATTAGAAATAGTGCAGAGAAATTGGGACTCTGAGACCACAGACCTGAGTTCTTATATCAGGTCCCCAGAATAATCACTATACTAATTATAATGATCACTTTTATATTCTGTCAGTAGGTTCTTTATACACTTCCATTAATTCCCACCATAAATTAATTTCCAAGGTCAGTATTATATCTTTCTATTGATAAAAAAGCCAGAAAGTTTAATTTTCAAGATAACATGCTATGATTCCAACACAGGTATGTCTGATTTCAAGTTTTAGGGCCCTGTTTCCTTATCTGTCAAATAGGGATGGTCATATCTGTTACTCTTATCTTAAAGTGTTAATGGAATACTGTGATATTACCTATATTTTGTTTGAAAGAAAAAAATATTTGATTAAATACCAGACAGACCTTATAAATGTGGTCAACTTTAGCATTATCATTTGTCTAAACAGTATTTTACTTTTTAAGGTGGTGGTATCATGGATACAGAAATGTCTGAAGATATAGACCACAACTTAACTCCTACCCTTGACAGCATGCCTTATGGAATGCCGAATCAAACAGGATCTGAAAATTCATTGCTGGATGAAGATGATTATTTTTTGAACTCTGGGGATCTTGCAGGAATTCCAGTCGTTGGTAGTGACAATGAGGATGAACAGGATTTTAGTTCAAAAGACAATCTTGTTTCTTCAGTTCATACTGATGATAGCTTGGAAGTAGAGAGAAGAGTCACACAGCATGAATCAGACCATGAAAATGAAATACAGATTCAAAATAAATTTAAAAAAGACTTTACTAAACAGTTTGATCAGGTTTCTGTCTTTAAATCAATACGGAAAGATTTTAGTCTAGTAAGAGAAAACAGCAAAGAGACATTTTCTGGAAAGGAGAAAAATAGAGACCTAACTTATGAACATGAAAAACAATTGGACAAATCCCATAAAGAGGTGGATGCAAGGTTGAAAAGCAGTTTTTTTGATAAAGCAGGTAATAATTGTTGGAATAGAGCCATAAACCACAATAAATAACAACATACTTATAATAATATAGCTTTTATTACTTCTGATGCTAAGCGAAGTATGAACAGTTAAATTCATTGTAAGCTTGTCATTTTTTTTTTTTTTTTTTTATCCTTGTTCTTTGCAGAGTGACTGAATTTCTCCCTGTAACTTTTGGTAATGGTATAAATGATTGAAAAATAGCTCTAAACCTCATTTCTCCCTCCCCTGGTTGCAATATTTTGATGAGAAGGCAAGATACTCGAATCACCTGTTCATTTTCTTTGGTTGAACATTGGATCCTGAAGTTGGATTTAACTTCTTTGTGCTGTAAGCACTAATTCAAACTGCTGTCCCACCAAATTAGGGAGGGTTTTTCTTATTGATAACATTTCTATTTTATGTTTTAGAAGTTTCTTGGCGGCTCTTCTTGAGCCTCTTTGCTCAGTGTATCCTATACCTTAACTCTAGTTCCATTCTTGAATACATCATGTATTTCCCTCATGCATCCTTTTTCTATTGCTGTTCTATTTTTCTGCATGCCATTTTCTCTCTTTGTATACATGTCTGTAAAAGTACTTTTTATTCAACAGTCCTAACTCATAAACCTCTACTACTCTCTAGTCACCCCTAACCTTTCTGTATCAAGAATGAATTGTTTCCTTATCTATATTTTCATAGCATTTTGTTCATGCTTCATTATTTACAGTCCTTATCACACAATATTGTAGTTTTGTATTTATTTTTGCCTTACATACTAGTGTAGGTGTTTATGGAGGGTCAGATTGTATCTTATTCATCTTTGTATTCTTGGTTATAATGAAAATAGTGTTTCAGTAAATATTCAGTAGATATGAGGGAAAGAAAGGTATAATTTATCAACCTTAAGTTTCTTCTGACAATGTTAGGAGAAATACGGTAGAAAGAACAAATCAGTATACATTTTCAGTATCCCCTGTAGGGTTATTGAACATTATGAGGGTACTTAACCTCAAGTAACAATGTCTGGTAGTAGAAGAGACAAGACAAGTATTAGAAGTGTCAGTGACCAGTTGCAAATCATAGATTTAATTTATAATTAAAGATAGTGGAGGAAGAGTTTGTCAAAAGGCAGGTAATACATGAAGATTTTCAAATTATTGAAATTGGATTTTGGATATTCCTAGAGATGATTTTTAACTTATTGGCCAGGAGGAGAGGTGAGTTTTGACCTGAGCTGAGTCTGAAAGACTTAAAAAGATTAGGATAGATAAAGGGATAGAAATGGGGAATAACAAACACAAGTAATTTTTAGAGCATAGTGAATAAAATAACCACTCTATTTAGATTTGAGCAAGGAAAAGTTTGAGATGAGGCTAAAGGTTAGATGGTGTCAGATTGTTTACTGTGAATGAAACTACCTTTTGGGTGTTTTTGGGGTATCCATCTCATGCTAATGAGCATCTTTGTTGGAAAAGAGAGGTGATTATCTTTTTTAGGTTACTCTTTGTAAGATTTGTTATTCATATACATGTGTTTGTTTTGTTTTGTTTTTCTTTCAATAGCTAATCAAGTTGAAGAAACATTACATACTCATTTACCACAAACCCCAGAAACAAACTTTAGGGTAAGTTTTCAGTGTGTATATAGAATGCTGTAATTGTGGCAAGTCAAGTGTCAACGTTTTCTTTGTTACTTTCTAAACTGTAACTATATGTAGTAAGGTAGAGTGCTGATTTTTATTTTATTTGCTTTATTATTTTGGAAAGGACATCTTTGGAGATAGTCTCAGCTCTTAGATTATTTGTACTTGATATTTAGACATTTACTTTTAGGTGTAGGGATTCTAGTGAATGTCCATAGAATTCTTCATTTCCAATGAGTTTTTCTTTGGGTGTTGAACCTGAAGAAGAATAAATCTAAAACCTGAGTATTTATTAATCCTTTATATTGTGTTTTAGGATTCCAGCTATCCATTTGCCAATAAAGAACCCATTGGTTCGGAACTGGGGAATTCCTTTGCATCAAATATTAGAATTAAAGAAGAACCTTTGGATGATGAGTATGACAAAGCAATGGCACCACAGCAGGGACTACTAGACAAAATTAAAGACGAACCTGACAATGCTCAAGTAAACATTTCACCTTTTTTTTCTCCTTTTTTTTTTTTTTTACACATGAATTATTCATTTGAGAACAGATGTTCTTGATTAAAAAGTGAAGTAGTTTGTTGACAGAGTGAGAGGAGACTCTTAATGAAAGTTGAGACAATTTGAATTTTCTTGTGAGAATAATGATAAGGAACCAACAAGGAAATGTTTCCTGAGTAGTAAATAGGCTTTTAATCCTGTTTGTTCCTAAATACCATTGTACTCTGACTTATACAGTTTCAGTGCAGAATTAGGGAAAGTGTGAGTCTTCAAGGATTAGAGGTTGATATAGTAGATAAGAGCTGAAGGTTTATGGTAGTTTATTAGTTTATGGTTTGATTGAGCTTATATGAGGTAATAAGTCTTTGCATTTATTGTTAGTGGAGGACAGGCTATGTATAGATTTAAATGTTTTTCAGGAGGGAGTAATGGACAGGCTATCTTGGGAAGGATTAACTGATTGAAGAACCAGTTCATTGGATCAGTTGATAGAAGGTAAAAAAGGATAATAGGGGGTACTAAATTTGAGAACTGTGATATTTTTATTAGATAAGGATAGAGCTCTGCTATTGTGTATCTCTGCAGGTAAAAGTCATAGAGCTATCCTGTAAGCCAGCAAAGTTATTCATGCAGTTAATGACATTGCAGTGGTAAGGATGGAAGAAAGAAGTTATACCAGGCACTGTAATAATGCTGGAATATGGGAAGGAGAACAAGGGATGAATACACAATAGTAGCAATTATTTGAAGGTTGTCTATGGTTTATACAGATCACATTAATTCAGAAGCTGAGAAGCAAATGACAGTTAATCTGGAGGGAAGCTTGCTTTTCCATATCTTCCTGTTATACTAGGGGGTTTGAGAATGTGAAACTTTTTTGTAAGAGATTTTTTCATTTAGATGTCTTTGAGCAGGGTTTCTCAACCTCAGCACGGTGACATTTTGGGCCAGATAATCCTTTGTTGTGAGGGGCTGTCCTGTGCAGGATATTCAGCAGTATTTTTGGCCTACTAGGTGGCTATAACAATGTTGCCCCCAGCCCAAGTGTTTCCAGATGTTACCAAATGTCCCCTGGGGGACAAAATTGTCTGTTATTCAGAACCACTGTTTTAGAGTAAGGAGATAGAATAATAGATAATTTAGATAATAGGTGATTTGTATGGTCAGATTGTTGCTCAGTTAAGCAAGAATTTCATGGTGCGCAGTGGAAGGTAACTATATAGTGATGATAAAGCTGTAGGAGTTGGATGGGTATGAGTGTAGTGGCTACAAAGAAGATGGTAGAGAAGCAACATGAAAATATTTGAATAGAAGGTAGGTCGTGAAAGCATATGTAATAGAAGAAGGCAAAATGGAGATCTTGGATATCTAAATTAGGGATAAAGAAGTGTCTTGACATCTAGAGAAAATTTATGTGGCAGTGTATGTCTCAGAAAATTATAACCATGTATGTATATGGGGCATGTCTCTTGTCTCTTTACATACCCCAGTGTAGATATGGGAAATCCATAAGAAATCTTGATGGTGGGTTACCAAAGGCATCCCATTCTTACCGTACATGATCCAATGACACTTTTTTTTGGACAAAAAGTCAATTATAGCAAAAACCAAATACATTGGGGAGGAGGACATTAGGAAGAGTTATTGTACTATTCTAAAAATAATCAGAGGTTCTAGGAGCTGGAGAACTCTATAACAAAGAAACATCTACATTTTTATATTCTATTTAGATTGTAAAGATGTTTTTTAAAATGCTGAATATGAAGTTTCATAATGATAATAGGGAAGAACTTCCTCAAAGGCTCACCACCTGATTGATTGGACTCTTGAGAACGAAGTAGGAATGTAGGTCCTAGGCATTGGGACTCTGGGTCCCGTGGTGCTCCCTGACTCTGATAGGAGGGAGATTTTTACATATATTTTACTAAATTTCTTTCATCTCTGACACTTCTATTATAGAGAAAGGGCAAATAGTAAAGGTCCTGAAGCATTCTTTACCCTGATCCTTCAGTAAGGTATACCAGTATGTGAGTGCGTAAAGCTACTTTTCTCTGAGAGGGTGTATCAATACTATCGGAGCAGACCTTTGATAATTCTTCCAGAAATTCCCAGGGGACCTCATGTTAAATTGGTTCTTCCTTTTCTTTTTCCTCTCCTTTTCTTTCCTTCTTCTTTCCCTCTGTTCCCTCTCCTTTGTTTTTCTCCCTCCTCTCCCTCCTTCATTGTTATGTTCTTTCTGGTCTTTTTTCCCATGACCAGTAGAGACCTGTATTTCTTGCTGTTCACGACTACTAATGCTTTATCACTTAAAAAAAAAAAACCAAAAAAAAAAACCACTTTATTGTTGAAAGTATTATAGATGCCCCCTTTTTTCTTTCTTTTTTTTTAAAAAAATATATTTTATTGATTTTTTTTACAGAGAGGAAGAGAGAGGGATAGAGAGTTAGAAACATCGATGAGAATCATCGATCAGTTGCCTCTTGCACACCCCCCACTGGGGATGTGCCCGCAACCAAGGTACATGCCCTTGACTGGAATCGAACCTGGGACCTTTCAGTCTGTAGGCCGACTCTCTATCCACTGAGCCAAACCGGTTTCGGCTCATTTTTTCTTCTGTTGACCCCTTCTACCCAGCTTCTGCTCCCTCCCCAGGCCTTTCCTACACTATTGTTTGCCCTTGGGCTATGCATATCCTATATCCTATATAATAGAGCTAATATGCAAATGGTCATCTCACCCTCTTGCCAGGGGCTGGGGGACCTGAGGCCGTGCCCCTGGCATCAGGATTGGGGGACCTGAGCCTGTGCCCCCTGCCCTGCAGGGCTTGATGGGGTGGGACCAGCCATGTCTGGGTCTTGTGCGATTTCAAGGTGGGCTGGTTGGTGGGAACTTGACTCTGGGTCCCGTGGTGCTCCCTGACTCTGATAGGAGGGAGATTTTTACATATATTTTACTAAATTTCTTTCATCTCTGACACTTCTATTATAGAGAAAGGGCAAATAGTAATATTAAAATATTTCCCCTAATTCCTTTTAATGTGCACAAATTTTGTGCACCAGGCCACTAATATGCATATAAGTTCTTTGATTAACATTCCCTCCTCCTCCTGAAATACATCAGTCTGTTGCATGTTTCAATGTCTCTAGATCTATTTTGTACATCAGTTTTGTTTGTTTTCATTAGATTCCACATATAAATGACATCATGTTATACTTGTCTTTTTCTGACTGGCTTATTTCACTTAGCATAATACTCTTCAGGTCTCTCCATACTGTCTCAAAGGGTAAGAGATCCATCTTTTTGTATAGTTGCATACTATTCCCTTGTGAAATATACCACAGTTTTTAAACCCATCAATCTACTGATGGGCACTTGGGCTGTTGCTTGATCTTAGCTATTGCAAATAATGCTTCCATTAAACATAGGGGTGCAGGGTGCATATATTCTTTGATTGGTGTTTCAGGCTTCTTAGACTATATTATTAGAAGGGGGATCAGCTTTATCACTCATTCATTTCCCATAGACTGGAAATGGGAGTTCAAATGCATTATAACTAAAAGAGTACTATTAATCTGAGGTTCATAAAATGCTAATAGATTTTATTTTTGATCATTAATTATTAGTTACTAGTAGTAGCTTTTCACCTGATTTAATAAGATCATAGCTTTAGCTCATGGCACCTTGTCAAAACCTCCCTTGGCTTTTCTCTTCACTTCACTTGTAGTTTTGCTTTCAGCTCACTCTATAATTTTCCTTGTATGATTCTTTTGGTTTTAAATTCTTTACTTTCCCCTAAAGTACTAAAATGTGTGTTTATAAATTTTACTGCTTCTATTTATTTGCTCTTGATTATTTCTTCTGTTACAGTTTCCTGGGTTTGTCAGTTATCATTCTGTTTCTATTACTGGTATAACATCATTTGGCCTTTCTATTACTGGTATAACATCAGTTTCATTTCCATTCAAATCCCATTGCATGTCACATTTCTACATTCAAATCCCATTGCAGTTTATTATAGTATTTTTACAGTTACAGGATATTTTTATGTGTGCTGTGTTGTTTCATCTTATTTCAGAAGGCCAGAATAGATGATACTAACTTTATTTGTAAATAAGGAAACAGGTTCTAGAGGATAAGTTAATTATACAAGGAGCCAATCTAGGGTCACAAGGTGTTACTTTCATTAGTCTACCAATCTTTTGTAAATAAAAGTTGTTTAATTAAAAAAAAAAGCCTACAGAAGGTTTTATTTTTTTTAAATGTTTTTATTTTTTGAATATATTTTATTGATTTTGTACAGAGAGGAAGGGATAGAGATAGAGAGTTAGAAACATCGATGAGAGAGAGTCATCGATCAACTGCCTCTTGCACACCCCCTACTGGGGATTTGCCCGCAACCAAGGTACATGCCCTTGACCGGAATCGAACCCGGGACCCTTCAGTCCCCAAGCCGACGCTCTTATCCACTGAGCCAAACCGGTCTCGGCTACAGAAGGTTTTAAAATAGAAACTTTAAGGAGCTAGAGAACTCCATTTTTCAATTTTGTTTTTGATAGGTTCTAAAAGTTGGAAAATCAGTAAATGTTACATTAAAATCAATTTTTTACCTTTTCGTTTTTCTCATAATATTAATAAAAGGAGAGCTAATTTATAATCTCTATTGAAATAAATGATTTAGAATGGGAAGGCAAATTATTTGTCACAATAATGAGTCACATAGTCTTGGAAGTCAGAATTCAATAATTAAATTTTGGGGCCTTTTTTTTTAGTCATAATCAAGTTAACTTGGCTATAGGAGGAAGTGGGTTCTTCATTTTGAAAATGCTTTCTTGGGATAGTGATCTGCATCTTCTTTTTGATAAACAAAGGGAAGTTAAAAGTATTGGTAAAGGATTTTGTTTTGTTTTGAACCAGTTTTTTTCTGCTTCTGGAAGCTTTGGGTTATCAGATTTTCACTTCTGAAATTATTAATCTTTGGTTTGTTATTAAATTTGTAAATTTAATTTTTATCAAGGGAATCTTAAAATAACATGATGCTGCCTTGAAGGCACTGTGAGATGAAGAAGTGGAGTACTTAAAATATATACTTATTTTATTGTATTACATGAGCAATGTATATTTGAGGCTTATAGAATGTATTAGAAATTTGGAATAATTGTTACTGACAGTGAGAAAGAGCTAGGACAGTGTGATTTTATAAGGTTAGTGAGGCTAATATTGATACAGAATGGATTCCCACAAAGAAGACATACTTAAAGGAATTAGATATATTAATGATGAATGGAAGGAATTTACCAACTATTCAGAGAAAAAAAAGAAAAATGCCTATTATACATAAAAATAAATAAATACCAGGTGGGTTTAAAGTAGGGGTTGGCAAAATATCAATAATGTGCAAATGTGCCTGTTCTCTGTGTTTTTGTCTTGTTTTGCTTTTTTTTTTTTTTTTTTTTCTTGCACACAGTTTTTGTATATAAAGTTTTATTGGAGCATTGCCACAAAAATTCATTTTCATAAGATTTCTAGATGCTTTTGCTCTACTGTGGCAAAGTTTAGTCGTTCTGATAGTATGGCTTCCAAAGTTAAAAATACTTAATATCTGACTCTTTGCAGATAAAGTTTGTTGACATCTGGATTAAAGAACTGTATTGTAAACATTCTTAGAGTTTTGTTGCAGAAGTAGAACTTTATAAGAAATATGAATCACAAAGGTAATTTATGTTAACATTTTGGCATACAAATGGAAACTTCAGTACATAAAATTTTAACTCAAAGTACATAATGAGAAAATGTTGATAACAGATGTTACAGAGGACTAATATTGTTACAGTATTCTTTTTTATAAGTAGATATTGGAAAAGAATTGCAAATTGAAACACCAGTGCAGTGGGGAAAAGACTTTTAAATGGCTTTTTTCACAAATTATTAGAACAAATATAATTGATATTCATTTGTTTGTTTTTAAAGTGTCATTTCTTATCAGAAACCTTTTTTACTTTGTATCTGTTTACTTAGTAATTCCACTATAAGGATCATTTAGGAGTTAATTCTAAAAATGAGAATTTGAGTATTCACAAAGATGTTCTTCATGGAATGTGTGGAAAAAAAAGGAATGACACTGGGTTGGGGTTATGTAACTCAGTGTCATGCCAGGCCATTAAATGGAGCCTGAGTCCAAAGGAAAAATCAGTAATACTGATCCTGTCCTTATTTATTTAAAGTTTTGGTATTATAATCATCATGGAGTTTTCATTTTTTATTTTAAAGAATATAGCATTAACATAATTTTTTATCTTGATTACTGATATTTTATACCCAAGGCAAGTGCCTCTCTCCAACCCAATCTCTTTCCTGTATAATCTGTTACATCTGTTAAAATATATCAGTATTTTTCAAACTTGAGTAATGTACAGATACCCCTTATCACAAAGAAAGGGAGTATGTTAGAATTCCAAGAATAAGAAGTCTTGCAGGATTTTTGCAAGTTGAGTGTGATAAACAATGAATTAATCTACCACTTTTTGGTTTCACAATGCAATAATATAATTATAGAAGTAAACAACAGCAATGAAAACTTGTATAATTCAGTTATATTTGCTCATTTATGATTTAAAATATGTTTACACTCACTAAAAATGTTATTGAAATAAAAACACAGTTTTAAAAAATTCTTTTAGAATTCTCAGACTCCCCATAGTATATATCTTTAGACCTCAAGGACTCTTGGACTCCAACTTGAAAAACACTGATGCTTAACCACTAGATGTGGAGTAATCCAATCTAATAAAAAGAGTAATATGCAAATTGAGGGTCACTCCAACACACAAGATGGCTGCCCCCAAGTGGTCAAAGATGGCTGCTCCCATGTGGACACAAGATGGCTGACGAGGGGGGCAGTTGCAGGAGACCAGGCCTGCAGGGGAGGGCAATTGGGACCAGACCTTCAAGAGAGGACAGTTGGGGGGTAGGAGAGGGGACAGGACTGCAGGGGAGGGCAGTTAAGGGCAACCAGGACTGCAGGGGAGAGCAGTTAGGGGCGACCAGGCCTCCTATGGAGGGCAGTTGGGAGTGATCAGGCCAGCAGTGAGAGCAGTTAGGGGAGACCAGGTCAGCAGGTGAGGGCAGTTGTGGCGACCAAGTCTGCAGAGGACGACAGTTAGGGGCTACCAAACTGGCAGGGGAGGGCAGTTAGGGGTGACCAGGCTGGCAGGAGAGGGCAGTTAGGGGCAATTGGGCCATCAGGGGAGCAATTAGGCATCGGTTAAGCTGGCAGGGCTGTGGTTAGGGGGTGATCAGGCTGCCAGGCAGGCACACGGTTGGGAGCCAGCAGTCCTGGATTGTGAGAGGGATCGGGCCTAAACCGGCAGTCAGACATCTTCAAGGGGTCCCAGATTGGAGAGGGTGCAGGCTGGGCTGAGGGACACACTTCCCCGTGCCCAAATTTCGTGTACTGGGCCTCTAGTATTTAATAATATGCAAATGTTCAGTTGATTCAAGTGGTCAAAGGAAGTCACTTTATGAAAATGGTGTATTTAGTATAATCACAAAGAAAGAAAACCTCTGAATTCAAGAGGGGAAAAGACTAGAAAAAAATATACCCAAAGAATAACAGTGGTTGTTTTGGGGTGATAGAAATATGATTAGAATGTTTTTCTTATTCCTATTTGTCTAAATTTTGTATAGTGAGTGTGTATTACTTTTATAATAGATAAATAGCAACTTAAAATACTATTAATTAAAAATGATTTGTTATTATCTGATAGTACATACTATAAGCTAATTAGGTAACTGGTTTCATATTTGGCCTTTTACTCAGCATATTCAATTTCACTTAATTATATATTGCTGCTGTTATTTTTTATTAATGTATTAAATAAACATTTTCTACCCCCAAATAGCAATAGTAACATGTCTTCAATGTTTGGATTTCTTTAGATACATTGTATTTATTCTTTCCTCTTTGTTTTAATTTCTTTCTTTCTTTCTTTTTTTTTTTTTTTAAAGGAGTTTAATCATGGCCAACAGCAAAAGACTCAGGAGGGGGAACTGAAAATTAGTGCTGTGTTTTCAGTCAGTGGCAGTCCTCTTGGTAAGATACAGAACTGAATGATTATATGTATTTTTTCTGACCAATATGAGTGAGAAGTATCTACTGTATTAGTAAGCTAAGCAGTTTTTTCTGCTCAATTAGAATGGCTTTTACTGTGTAATTAGTATTTAGTTTCAAGTCCAGTTCTAGAAGAGAAAGGAAGATTCATACTAAAAATTCATGGTCAAAGTAAGACTTTTTTTTTTTTTAAAGCTCCACAGTTGACTACTGGCTTCCAGCCTCCTCTGGCATCATCTGGCATGAATAAAATGCTACCTTCAGTTCCAGCCACTGCTATTCGAGTTTCCTGTTCTGGTTGTAAAAAAGTTCTACAGAAGGGGCAAACTGCTTATCAGAGGAAAGGGTCTACACAGCTTTTCTGCTCTACACTGTGCCTCACTGGATATACAGTTCCACCTGCCCGCCCACCACCTCCTCCCACCAAGAAAACTTGTTCAAGTTGCTCTAAGTATAGCAAAATTCTCAATTATCTTCTTTATATACTTTCTTTTAAGATACTTGGTCTTATCCATGTATTGTTTAATTTTCTACATCTCCATGGTTTTTGAGAAATACCACATTATTTAGTACCAACAGATAAGTTGTTGGTTTTCTTTCTTCTGGATGGCAGGAGTTCAGATTTCTTTTTAACTTGAAATAATGTGCCTTTTATATATTAGAGATGTTTTTGAAACCATTCTTTTCATCCTTGTTAGTTGAGATGCTTTATGAAACAAAAACTATACCATTCTTGGGTATTATATGGTCAAAATATTTTGGTTGTAACTGTAGGCAATACTTAATTCCAACAAATATTTAAAGTTATATTTCCTATTATAATATATAATTAGAATTCATTTAATATTTTCTTTACATGGATATATATGTGTGTGTGTGTGTGTGTGTGTGTGTGTGTGTATATATATATATATATATATATATATATATATATATTCAGTATCTCTGAATTACTTCAGAGGGCCCATTTCAGTGTTTAACAACAAAAAAGTATATGTGCCCTTAGACCCTATAAGGACATCCTGATATATTTGAATAATATGAACTAATTTTGGCTAATTTTGTAAGACAATTGATAGAAATTTTCATTAAGTCAGAAAAAGATGAATGATGCCTTGTTTTAATAATAGAATCACATTGGCTTCTATTAACCTATACCAGTGGTCGGCAAACTGCGGCCCAAGAACTACATGCGGCTCTTTGGCCCTTTGAATTTTTATCAAAGGCCAGCTTGGGAGGACCCTGATTTAGTTAATAACAATGTACCTACCTAAATAGTTTAAGTTTAAAAAATTTGGCTCTGAAAATAAATTTCAATCGTTGTACTGTTGGTATTTGGCTTTGTTGACTAATGAGTTTGCTGACCACTGACCTATGTAGACCATGCTTTATTAGTTTAGATATTTGTGTTCATCGTTCCTCACATGGATACAGCTCTTTATCTGTGGAAAAAGATGCTTTCTCTTCTGGTTCAGTTGGAAAAAGGCATATAGACCCCCCCCCAAAAAAAAAAAAAAAAAACAATTTGAATATGGTTAGGTGTTTGTCTGGAAGCACATCTCTTTTTTTTTTTTTTTTTTTTTTTTTTAAAGATATATTTTATTGATTTTGTACAGAGAGGAAGGGAGAGAGATAGAGAGTTAGAAACATCGATGAGAGAGAGTCATCGATCAGCTGCCTCTTGCACACCCCCTACTGGGGATATGCCCGCAACCAAGGTACATGCCCTTGACCGGAATCGAACCCAGGTCCCTTCAGTCCCCAAGCCGACGCTCTATCCATGAGCCAAACCGGTCTCGGCAAGCACATCTCTTTATGTTTAAAGTTTAATTAGCAGAGATAGACTTATTTATTTTGTTTGAATTGTGAAACGTACTTTTAGAAATGAGTGCTTAATATACCACATGCCTATTGTCTATATTCTGGCATATTAATCATCAGATTCAAAGATTAAATCAACTAATGTTATAATTTTTATAGTTTCTTATTTTGCAATGAAATAATGTCACATAACTTTCTATAATTTCTTGATTTCTCACTTTGGTGATCAGCACTTTTTAAAATTTCAACAATATTTCTCTTTTTATAACAATCATATATACTTCTTTAAAGAGTGGATTTAAAAATGACCATAGAAAACTCAGATAAATTAGATTTTTTTTTTTTTTTTTCTGATTTCAGAGAGGAAGAGAGAGGGATAAAGGGATTAAAAACATCAATGATCATAAAAACATCAATGATGAGGGAGAATTGTTGTTCAGCTGCATCCTGCACCATCCCCAGTTGGGAATGATTCATGTGCCCTGACTGGGAAATCGAACCATGACTTCTTGGTTCCAATGAGCCAAACCGAATGGGCTCAGATAAATTTTAAACTGTATACACTCTTTCTATGTTTTTGTTTTTTTAAAAATATATTTTATTGACTTTTTACACAGAGGAAGAGAGAGGGATAGAGAGTTAGAAACATTGATGAAAGAGAATTATCGATCAGCTGCCTCCTGCACCACCCCTTCTGGGGATGTACCCACAACCAAGATACATGCCTTTGACCGGAATCGAACCCGCAACCTTTTAGTCCGCAGGCTGATGCTCTATCCATTGAGCCAAACCGATCTCGGCTCTTTCTTTGTTTTTTAATTTTCTATATACAAGGTGGGTGAAAAGTAGGTTTGCAGTTGTTCATATGGAAAATAATACAATAATTAAGAAATAATTATACAAGAATAAACTGTGCTTCTCATAAACATGACTGTAAACCGACCTTTGCCCTACCTTGTGTGTTATGATTTTCATCTAAATTTATTATATTAATTTATTTTGTGGTGTTTGCCTAGTGTTCTGGTGATAGGTCATTTTTACTTACATATCATATCTTACCTGTCTTGATCTTATGTGATGTAATTATTCTTTAAGATTGCATTTTAAAAAATATATATATTTTATTGATTTTTTAAAAGAGAGGAATAGAGAGCTAGAAACATTGATGAGAGAGAAACATCAATTAGCTACCTACTGCACATTCCCTCATGGGTATGTGCCTGCAACCAAGGTACATGCCCTTGACCGGAATCGAACCTGGGACCCTTGAGTCCTCAGGCTGATGCTCTATTCACTGAGTCAAATCGGTAAGGACAAGATTGCATTTTTAAAATATATATTTTTTTTATTGATTCAGAGAGGAAGAGGGAGAGAGAAATATTAATGATGAGAGAGAATCACTGATTGGTTGCCTCCTGCATGCTCCCCTATTGGGGATCGAGCCCACAACCCAGGCATGTGCCCTTGACTGGAACAGAACCTGGGACCCTTCAGTCCACAGGTTGATGTTCTCTATCCACTGAGCCAAACCAGCCAAGATTACATTTTTTATTGCTGTTTAGTCTTATCCATACATTTTCTCTTTTTTTCAACCTGTCATTCATTGACTTTTTTTTTTTTCTTTTCTTTAAATCCTTACCCAAGGATATGTTTATTGACTTTTAAAAAGAGGAACAGGGGAGGGGGGAGGGAAAAAGGAGGGAAGGAGGGAGGAAAGTAGGAAGGGAGAAGAGAAACTTCAATGTGAGAGAGAAAACATCTTTCCATTGCTGCCTGGACACACCCTGACTCTTGATCGAACCTGCAACCTAGATGTGTGCCCTGATTTGGAATTGAGCCCACCATCTTTTGGTGTACAGGATGATACCCTAACCAGTTGAGCCACCTGACCAGGGCTCATTCCTTGACTCTTGTTTATGTACTTCTTCATTCACTTACTCTGTTATGCTTTTTATTTATTTATTTTTTAAAATTCCTTATTCTTTTTCATTTGCCCCTTTCAGTTCTTTCAGATATTCTTACCTTCCTATCACCGCATTCTTCATTTTCTGTCTTATTCCTCCCCCCACCCCCCTTCATTTTACAGAATACTTTTTTCTAAGGCTCAGTCCCCAGCCACTGATCAATCTTGGTCTTCTTTGTATATAATTTTCATTCCTAAACTACTCTTTCATCTCCTTTTCACCACTTTACTCCCCCAACCCTGTTATTTACATAGTTATTACAACAATCTGCTATAATTTGGTTATATGATTATCAAATGATTGAATTGGGTTGTACCTAAAAAGGAAATTATATTCAAATAAGTTAAAAGATTTGATCATTGGCAAATAACTGGCTAATTTTTCACATGTGCTATATACAATTAAACAGGATTTATTTGTAAGTCAATCCCTATAAGAAGGATTTCAATTTAGTTTGAATAGGTGGAACTAGAAAAGATTTTCTTTCTGATAGTTATTGCTGTTTTTATAGCAGCAGCATTTAGATGGAAAGAAACTCATTAGTTTGGAATAACATTTTTATTTTTATTAATCTTTTATTTAGCATATCTTTTAGTATCTTGGATTTAACTAAAATTGAATGTATTTTGGCAAATCATTTTAATTTTTTATTTCCTCAGTCATATATACCTAATGATTTGTTTTTAAAAAAGTATATTTCTGCCGGGACCTGTTTGGCTCAATGGATAGAGCGTCGGCTTGGGGACTGAAGGGTCCCGGGGTCGATTCCGGTCAAGGGCATGTACCTTGGTTGTGGGTATATCCCCGGTAGGGGCTGTGCAAAAGGCAGCTGATCTATGACTCTGTCTATCTCTCTCTCTTCCTCTCTGTACAAAATCAATAAAATATATTTAAAAAAAAAGTATATTTCTGCCCAGCCAGTGTGCTCAGTGGTTGAGTGTCCACCTGTGAACCGAAAGGTTCCTTGTCAAGCACATGCCCAGGGATTTGGGCTTGATTCCCAGTAGGCGGCATGCAGCAGGCAGCTGATCGATGTTTTTCTCTCATTGATGTTTCTCTCTCATTGATGTTTCTATTTCCCTATTCTTCTCCCTTCCTCTCTTCTTTCTAAAATCAGTAAAAACTTCTTTAAAAAAATATATGTATATTTCAAATCCTACATAAAAGAGGTAATTTTTAGGGTAATTTTGTTAGTATTATTAGAAAAATTGGATTTCTTTATTTAATGGCACTCAAGGAAATAACTGTTTTAGGATTCTCTGTACCATTTCTGAATTTTTACTATCTGAATGAGCTTTCTTCTTATTCTGGAATAAGATGTACTCTGCTACAGTAAGATATAATGTAATTGGACACTAAGCATACTTGAGAGCAGTGAGAAATATCTATATTTTTGTTATGTTTTATGCTTCCACTAGAGACTTGACACAAGAAATTCATGCAGGATGGGGGAGGGGTTGTCTCACAGACCAACCTCACCCTCTTGCAATCTGGGACCCCTTAGGGAATATCCAACTGCCTTTTGTAATCTGGGAACCCTGGTTCTTAACCACTCACCTGCCTGTCTGCCTGATCGCCCCTAACCCTTCTGCCTGCCATCCTGATCATGCCCCAACCCCCTTGCCTGCTCGATTGCCCCTAACAATCTTTGCCTATCTGCCTGATCATCACTCACTCCTTTGCCTGCCTGCCTGATCACTCCTAACTGCTCTCCTGATGGCCTAATTGCCTCTAACCGCTTCTGCTTTGCCCCACACCTAGGCCCAGAATTCCCTCCTCTAGCTGGTTGCAGGCAACTGGGACCCCGGTTGCCCTCTCTCTGGTTGGCCACAGGCATCCAGTACCTTGATCGGCTTTGCCCGGGTAGACTATAGCCACAGGTGTCCGTGGGTGGGTAGCTTTAGGGATTGTGGGGCAGGCAGCTTGTCCCTCTCCCAGGCCACAGGCACAGCCGCTGGTGCCTGGGACTGTTGGGCATTCAGATTGTCCCTCTCCCGGGTCATAGGTACAGGCCCAGCTGCTTGTCCTTCTCCCAGGCCACAGCCTGGCTGGTCCCCATTTCTTTCTCCCCAGTGTTGAGTGTCTGAGTGTGACAAACCATTTACATATTAGCTCTTTATTATATAGGATTACCTTGATTCATACTATTTCCCATCTCTTTATCTCCTTAACTTTTAGAAAATTCTTAAGGTCCAGTTCAAATGTCATCTTCTTTTGGGTAGCCTTTCATTCACATAATGTCTGAAATAATTGTTTCTTCATTTGTATTTCTACATAACACTTTATATGTATCTTTTTCAAAAGTATTACATTACTCTTATATTTCAAGAATGCCTCTTTTGTGCTATTTTATGTCATTTATCTATTTGTCCCAATATACTAGCAGCTCCTTGGGTGCATGCTTGCACCATATCTTCACATACGAGTTAGATAATGTCTGGCTCAATACAAATGCTCAATAAATACCCTTGTAATTGAAATACAGTAAAACTTAATTAAAAGAAACAGTAAAGGCAAAAAATGCAGAGTAGTCTGGAGCTATTAACTATAGAAGATGAGGTACGAAGTTGTGTATTGCAGTGTAGTGTGTTATCAGATGTTCTTTATGTTGATTCTCATGTTTTAACTTTTGTTGAAACAGAGATATTTGTAATCTTTTCCAAAAAGTACTTGATTAGTATAATCTGTTAAAGATGCAGGAATTAATAGAACACAGCTTATTCACCATCATGTGGGCATGTACTCATAGCAAAGAGATAATCTTTAGAAAATTTATTATTTAGATAATCTTTAGAATATATTTAGATAATCTTTAGAAAATTTATTAAGGCCTTTTTAAAAAAATATATTTTATTGATTTTTTACAGGGAGGAAGAGAGAGGGGTAGAGAGTTAGAAACATCGATGAGAGAGAATCATTGATCAGCTGCCTCTTGCATACCCCCCACTGGGAATGTGCCCGCAACCGAGGTACATGCCCTTGATTGGAATCGAACCAGGGACTTTTCAGTCTGCAGGCTGACGCTCTATCCACTGAGCCAAACCGGTTTTGGCTATTAAGGCCTTTTTTAAAAATTGTTTTTTTGCCCTGGCTGGTGTGGCTCAGTTGCTTGAGATCTGGTGTACCAAGGGATTGCTGGTTTGATTCCCTGTCATTCATTGACTTTTTTTTCTCTAAATCCTCACCAAAGATATGGGGGGCATGCTGGGGGCAGCCAATGGATGAGTTGCACTCACATGCATATTTCTCTCTCCTTCTCCTTACCTCTCTCTTTAAAAAAATCAATACATAATCATTCTTTTTTTTAAAAATTGGTTTTTCAAATGGTTTGGCTCAGTGGATAGAGTGTCGGTCTGCAGACTGAAAGGTCCCAGGTTCGATTCCGGTCAAGGGCATGTACATTGGTTGCGGGCACATCCCCAGTGGGGGGTGTGCAGGAGGCAGCTGGTCGATGTATCTCTCTCATTGATGTTTCTAGCTCTCTATCCCTCTCCCTTCCTCTCTGTGGAAAATCAATAAAATATATTTAAAAAATAAACAAATAAACAAATAAACTATTATATAGAAAGACTGGTTTGGGGTGGGATGAATGGAGTGGTAAGGAACCTTAATCCCTAGGATTTTAATCTCTATTCCATTTGTAACTGATGCCTGTAAATTAAATTATTTAGATATAAAAATGGTTCAATATTATATAATCAAGCTAGAATATACATTGTAGTTTGAAAGGTGTTCTTATCTTTAAAAGATAGTTCTTTACAAAATTTTAAAGTATTAATATTTAAGAAGAAAATTAAAAATCTATATTTTACCGATCAGAGGTAATGAATGATAACTCATGTATATATTTTTTAAATCTGGAAACAATGTCTAGTAGTAATTCAACATTTCTATGAAGGAAGTCTCTATTAGGTCCCTTTTATTTTATTTATTTATTTAAAATATATTTTTATTGATTTCAGAGAGGAAAGGGGAGAGAGAGAGAAACATCAATGATGAAAGAGAATCGTTGATTGGCTTCCTCCTGTATACTCCCTACTGGGGATGGAGCCCGCAACTGGGCCTGTGCCCTAACCAGGAATCGAACTGTGACCTCCTGGTTTATAGGTCGATGCTCAACCACTGAGCCATGCAGGTCAGCTTAGGTCTATTTTATAGAATATAACTTAAAAATCAAAGCAATTTATCAGTTTATCCAAGAAAAACTAGGTTTTCTGATTTAAATATCAGATACCTTTTCCTATACTGTATTTGCCTTTTATTTAGCTCACAAAAAGGAAAAAAAAAATTAATTATACTGTGGCTTATTTTATCTTTAGAGACATTTTAAATCCAAAGGATGTGATCAGTGCCCAGTTTGAAAATACCACCAGTAGTAAAGATTTTTGCAGCCAGTCATGTTTATCAACATATGAACTGAAAAGAAAACCTGTTGTTACCATAAATACAAATAGCATTTCAACCAAATGCAGCATGTGTCAGAAGAATGCTGTGGTAAGTTATCTTTTTATTTTATTGGGGCAAAGGGTCTAATGCTTGTGCTGAAAGTTAAGTTTTCATGGTCTCTTCTTGTTGTTTGCATTCTGTTATTTCTTAATTCCTAGATTCGACATGAAGTTAATTACCAAAATGTGGTACATAAACTTTGCAGTGATGCCTGCTTCTCTAAGTTTCGCTCTGCTAACAACCTCACCATGAACTGTTGTGAGAACTGTGGGGGTTACTGTTACAGTGGCTCTGGACAATGCCACATGCTTCAGATAGAGGGACAGTCTAAGAAGTTTTGTAGCTCAACGTGTGTTTCAGCATATAAGCAGGTACATGACCATATATAATCCTGATGACTTTGTTTATTTTAGGGGCATCTAAATTTTTTGGTGGAAATTATTTATGAAAATGTCACAAAAATATAAGGTATTATTACATTAATATTTTTACATATAAATAGCTGTTGAATGAATGCTGTCAAAATCTTGTTATAACATGAGTTTTATAAGTAGTATACACTCTTTCTTCGGTTAATCTTCACCCAAGGGTATCTTTTCCATTGCCTTTTTTTTTTTTTTTTTGAGTGGAAGTGGGGAGAGAGAAAGAAAGAAAAACTGCAATGTGAGAGAGAAACATCAGTTGGCTGCCTCCCACATATACCCTGACTAGGGAACTAAGGCAGGGATTGAACCTTCAAATCCTTGACTGAGAATTTATGTTAGTCCCTTTGGTGTGTGGGTCAGTGCTCTAACCACTGAACATGCCAGCCAAGGAAGTGGCAAATATTTCTGTTCATGCATTTGAAATACATATTTTTAGATATGACTTTTATTTTACATATGATTTGTGCTTTTGAAGAATATTTTGAAAATGCAGAGGAGTGCAAAGAAGAAAAATATGCACCATCTATTTGATGGTAGCCTTCTATTCTTGGAAATATAGTTTGCTTTACATATATATATATGTGTTTGTGTGTGTGTGTGTGTGTGTGTATGTGTGTATATGTGTGTATATATATATACACATTTGACTTGCTAGGGTAATGTCCAAGTTGCATATGTATTCTTGCAATCAAGTCCATATGGTTGAAATCGCAATTCAGAAAATAAAAATCTTACCATTAATTATTTAAGAGTTTTTTTCTTCTCTTTACGAAATAAGAATAAAATAAATGTTGGTTATGTATTATTTTGTGAATTAAGGGTTTTAGAGAATGAACTGAATGAATTTTAGTATGACAAATGTCTAATGCAGTTATTTTTTTATTTTATTGATTTTTTTTACAGAGAGGAAGAGAGAGGGATAGAGTGCTAGAAACATCGGTGAGGGAGAATCATCGATCAGCTGCCTCCTGCACATCTCCCACTGGGGATGCTCCCACAACCAAGGTACATGCCCTTGACCAGAATCGAACCTGGGACCTCTCAGTCCTCAGGCCGACGCTCTATCCACTGAGCCAAACTGGTTTCGGCAGTATTCTTTCTTTTTTTCTTTTAAAAAAATATATATATTTTACTGATATTTTCATAGAGATGAAGGGAGAGGGATAGAGAGCTAGAAACATCAATCAGCTGCCTCCTGCACACTCCGCAGTAGGCATGTACCACAACCAAAGCATATGCCCGTGACCAGAATTGAACCTGGGACCCTTCAGTCTGCAGACAAACTTGTCAGGGCTGTCTAATGCAGTTTTATACTTATATTACAGTAAATTTTGATCAAAAATTAGTTTTTAAAATTGATAAGTACAATAGAATAGTAAAAACTTTTTACATTTAAAATTTTACAGTGGCTTCCTGTTTCAGTGCATTTGCTGATCATTCATTTTCTTAAGAGTGAATTTTTATACAGTCAACTAAAATTTGTGAATTTAATGTTATTGGGAACTTTATTTAAATTGTTCTTTTATATATATACATATACGTATATACATACACACACACATACACTAGAGGCCTGATGCATGAAGATTCGTGCAAGAATGGGTTTTCCTTTCCCTGGCTGCTGGCACCACCTTGGCTCCCACCTGAGCTGCCTTTTCACTCTGGCCCAGAACCACCTTTCTGCTTTCCCATGCTGCCCAGAGGCCCAGAGCAGGTGGGGTGGAATGGAATGCCTCACCCCCAGCTGCTCAATGCCTGTGTATGCAAATTAACCCACCATCTTTGTTGGGTCAATTTGCATACTTCTGATTGGCTGGTGGGTTTCACAAAGATATGGTCAATTTGCATCTTACTCTTTTATTAGTGTAGATTTATTGATTTCAAAGAGGAAAAGAGAGATAAAAACATCAATGACGAGTGAGAACTGCTGTTTGGCTGCATCCTGCACGCCCCACACAGTGGATTGATCCCGGCCTACCCGGAATCAAATCGTGACTTCCTGGTTCATAGGTTGATGTTCAACCAGTGAGCCACTTAGGTGGGACCTTTTTTTTTTAAAAAAATGTGTATTGTTTTTATTTTATTTTACAAGAAAAGAGGGGGAGAGAGATAATAGAAACATAAATCTGCTTCCTGCAAGACCTCTACTGGGGATTGAGCCCGTGACCTGGGCATGTGCCATGAGTGGGAATCGAACTAGTGACCTCCTGGTGCATGGGTAAGGCTCAACCAACTGAGCCACACTGGCCAGACTTAAATTGTTCTTAAAACTTTATAATGATTCTTGAATTTTAAACATTATACAGTTTTTCTATTTATTTCTAACTAATATACAAACATATTAAAAGGGCTTAGTTTCCTGCTCTAGCTAGTTTGGCTCAGTGGATTGAGCATTGGCCTGTGGACTGAAGGATCCCAGGTTTGATTCGGTCAAGGGCATGTACCTAGGGTGCAGTCTCCCTGTCCTGGTCCTGGACATGTGAGAGGCAACCAAGTGGTGTGTCTCTCTCACTTTGGTGTTTCTCTATCTTTTTTCTCTCCCTTCCACTCTCTCTAAAAAAATCAATGAAAAAAGTATCTTTGAATGAGGATTAAAAAATAAAAGGGACGGGGGTGCTTAGCCTCCTTTAGGAAATCTTGTTTTTGCTTTCATGTGGGGGCAAACCCAGACAGTATTTTCGTGTGTTTTATCTTTGTCCAAATGCTTTCCTGATATTGTATCAAGTAATAAAAGTTGCTTGGATTCAGTCAATGGAAAGATGGTTCATATTCCACAATAGAAGGAATAATAGGTTGAAACATTTTAATTTTAAATTATTTTATTACTTATAATTTAGCCAATATTTTTTAACTCTTTGACATATTAATATGTACTTTGGTGTAGAGAAAGAACTTGAATTTAGAAGTAAAGTATACAATGTTTGATTCCCAGACATATTCAAATAGAATTTTACTTTGGGAAAAGCAATCAAACTTCTTGAGTCCATTTTTTAATCTATAAGTAGGTATTAAAATACCTATGTCACTGAGATATTTTTAGGTTATATATGAAGTAAGAATGAGATAGCACCTAGAATATAACCTGACATGTTTTATAAAATGCAAACATAAAACCTCAGAAATATGTGTGTACTGGACTGCTATGTAAAATTTATTTCTTATTGAGGATTGTAATTATAAAAGTTTGAGAGCCACTAATTTAGAATATTTCAACGTGTTAAGTATAAACATTTCAAAGAATTATGCTTTTACTTTGTAATTTGGTAAAAATGAATGCTGTTTTATTCTCTTAATAGAAATCAGCCAAAATTACACCATGTACGCTTTGCAAATCATTGAGATCCTCAGCAGAAATGATTGAAAATACCAATAGCTTGGGAAAGACAGAGCTTTTCTGTTCTGTTAATTGCTTATCTGCTTACAGAGTTAAAATGGTTACTTCTGCAGGTAATATTGGTTTTGTAAACTATATTTATATTATTACAAAAGTTATAGTTATTGCTTTGTTTATATAGTACAGGTTTTTGTCCAAATTTGGTTGTCTTTTAAGGCAGATTTAAAATACTTCAGATTTGTGTTACAAAAAAAATCCCTTATTACTTGATTGCTTTTTTTATGTTTGTTTACTGGTTTGTTTATTAGTGCATCCATCCTTAGCAAAAGAATTTCATGTGGCTTGTTTAATGTATTTTCTTTTTCACATCTGATTTATTTCAGGATTTATATATCTTATAGTTTCCAGATAGACTGACAATTTTAAAAAAGTATTTTTTATGTTGTTAGTTTTTGTCTGTATGTGTTGTGATTAAGTTTAGTTTAATTCCTGCAACTTGACCTGGCTCCTGAATTTTTATATCTTATACAATACTTACTTATTTTCTCATACATTTTTGTAAATTTATATATATATATAAACACACACACACACACACACATACACACACATATTACTCATTATTTTTATTTTTATTTGCTAAGGTGTACAAGTTCAGTGTAACAGTTGTAAAACTTCAGCAATCCCTCAGTATCACCTCGCCATGTCAGATGGAAGTATACGCAACTTCTGTAGCTACAGTTGTGTGGTAGCTTTCCAGGTATGGCTTCAGGAACCTTTCTCTTCTCCAGTGAGTGAGTTGCCTACAACTGTATTGTAATGTGAACTTATTAGGTGTTTGCTAGTGCCTGGATTGCCTAAATTTCTACTATCTAAGGCATTTTAAACTTGGATTCTTTGGTTCATCCTATCCTGTATTTGGAGGCATGTCATTTAGCTGCCTTCTATAAAATTAATGGTACTATTATCTCCTAGATTATCTTTTGGGAATATATTATTTTTGAATTATTTTATTTTTATTTATAAATGGCACTTCCCCCTTTCAATTATAAGATGCTCATAGGGAGGAATTTTTGCCTATTATCACATGTGTCTTGGGTGCTTAGGACTGTGCTTGATATACTTAGTTAGTCAGTACTGACTTGTTTGAACAAATTGTGAGATTTATCTTGTTTTTTTCCAGAATTTGTTTAACAAACCAACAGGAGTGAATTCTTCAGTAGTGCCCTTGTCTCAGGGCCAAGTAATTGTAAGCATCCCCAGAGGTTCAACAGTGTCAGCAGGAGGAGGTAACACCTCTGCTGTTTCTCCTACCTCCATCAATAGCTCTGCTGCAGCTGGTCTCCAGCGTCTTGCTGCCCAGTCTCAACATGTTGGGTTTGCACGAAATGTTGTAAAACTTAAGTGTCAGCACTGCACCCGTCTTTTTGGCACAAAACCGGAACTTCTTGACTATAAGGTAAAGTATAGGGTCGTGATAAAGGTTTTGAGTATGAACTGATCTATCTGTAAAATTGTTTCTGGCTTTTTATTTCTCAAAATTGCTTTTGAAAATATGAGGGATAAGGATTTCCGTAAGATAAATGTTTAATTAGTACTTGATGATTTTTCTTTTCAGGGTAAAATGTTTCAGTTCTGTGGCAAGAATTGTTCTGATGAATATAAAAAAATAAATCATGTAATGGCAATGTGTGAATATTGTAAAATTGAGAAAATTTTAAAGGAGACTGTGAGATTCTCAGGTGCTGACAAGTCTTTCTGTAGTGAAGGTAAGGTCAGAAGATTATCTTACCTACTTAAGCATGTTGGTTCTTTTAACAGTAGTTGATAATGTAAGCTGTAACTCTGTGGGTTTATTTTATCCTCTTTGTATAATACCAAACCCTTTTTGTTCGTTTATGCTTCGTTCAATTGTTCTGATCAAATTCTTCATATCATTTAAATGTTAAAATGAAGGAAACAATCCTCCAAGCATATTGCAGAAGGTGATGGTAATTGACAGACATTTATCGATATTAGGTTGATGGGATTCTTTCATTTCTGGTTCTTCTATAGGGAACTCCTTAAATTTGGTAGTATCCTAGGGTTATACTTCACCATTATAAAATGAACATAAATAATCTGAATTTGCAATCAGTATGAGATAGACTTTCTTCTTCTTTTAAATGACCATCTTAGACGTTTAAAATGTTTTTTTTTATTCTAAAACTGCACAGGATTAGCCTACTAGATAGTGGATTTTAAATCTTTTGACCACAACGCACACACAAAAATACATTTTACATTGTGATACCACATACCCAAATTAAACAAAAATTTCATTAAACAAACTGACATTTAGCCCTGTTGGTGTGGATCAGTGGCTGGATGTCGACCTGTGCACCAAGAAGTTACCTTTGTGATTCCTGGTCAGGGCAAGTGCATGGGTGATACGCTTGGTCCCTGATGTGGGGTGTGCTGGAGAAAGCCAATCAATGTTGATGTGTCTCTCTCATTGATGTTTCTTTCTCCCTCCCTCCCTCCCTCCCTCCCTCCCTTCCTCTTTCTCTAGTGCCTATAAAAAAGTATTTAAAAAAATTGACTTTTACTGCCGAAACTGGTTTGGCTCAGTGGATAGAGCGTCAGCCTGCGGACTGAGAGGTCCCAGATTGATTCCAGTCAGAGGCATATATCTTGGTTGCGAGTGCATCCCCAGTAGGGGGTGTGTAAGAGGCAGCTGATCAATGATTCTCTCTCATCGATGTTTCTAACTCTCTATCCTTCTCTCTTCCTCTCTGTAAAATATCAATAAAATATATTTTTTTAAAAATTGACTTTTACTATATGAGATGCAATATAATATATTTTTAATGTTTTTATTTTATTTTGTTGATTTCAGAGAGGAAGGAAGAGGGAGAGGGAGATAGAAAAAGCAATGAAGAATGATTGATCAGCTGCCTCCTGCATGCCCCACACTGAAGATCAAGCCTGCAACCCAGGCATATGCCCTGACCAGGAATTGAAGCGTGTGACCTCCTGATTCATAGGTCAATGCTCAACTATGAGCCACACCGGCCGAGCAGTATAATATTTTTTAAATGATAGTATTGGCCCTATATATTGATCTCTTTATCTAATTGGAGAAGACCCAATTGTGGAAACTTTACTATAGGGCATTTAAATTAAAGATGGAGATACTTAATATTTCTGCCTAATTTTAATTTTATCTTTTCCTGATTTTTTTTTAGGTTGCAAATTGCTTTATAAACATGACTTGGCCAAGCTCTGGGGAAATCACTGTAAAATGTGCAGTTATTGTTTACAGGCATCTCCCAAATTGGTACAGAGTAATTTGGGGGGGAAGGTTGAAGAGTTCTGTTGTGAAGAATGTATGTCCAAATATACAGTTCTGTTTTACCAGGTAAATATAATTCACATTCATGGTTTTTTCAAATTAGGGCGAACATTATTCCCTAATTTTATTTTTTGACCAAGTATAATAATATTAAAGACACCTTAATTATTTAAACTTTTAAGGTTAAATGTATTATGTTTTCTAGCATTAAATTAAGATTTTGGAACACTTACTGTCATTGAAGTTATATTTCTTTTGTTTGTAATTTCCATGGAGAAAACGTAAGTCTTAAGAAATTAAATATGTAAAATTATAATTTTATTCATTTATCATTTAACTAAAATGAATTTGTTTTCTGAAGTCTTTGAGGAAGATAGATCTTATTTTACTATGTTCTTTAATTACAATTTATTTTCATCTGTATAATATGACTTTTCAATGCTTACTATAAAAATCATTGATAGATAAATATTTACCACTTTAAGTAATTAAATTTCATTTTTTTAACTTAAATTCTGAGTTATTTTTCTCACTTGTTACATGTATCCTGATTTTATTCTGTCAGATCACAGATAATTTGTTTCTTTTTCTTTTTTTCTTTTTTTTTTTTACCATCTTTTGTTTCTTTTTCAGATGGCCAAATGTGATGGGTGTAAGCGACAGGGTAAACTCAGTGAGTGCTTGAAATGGCGGGGAGAAATGAAACATTTCTGTAACCTGCTTTGTATCTTGATGTTCTGTAATCAGCAAAGTATGTGTGACCCACCGTCACAAAACAATGCAGGTAAAATTAAACTTTAGTCTTTCATTGGTATAGGGGACTAACTACATCTACAGATTGGGAACATTAAATAATTTTCAGTAATTTCATGAAACGTAAATTTCATTCTTTTCACATGATGTTAACATTTAGATAATTTTTTGTTTAACACTAGAGATTAAAGCCCAGTAAAAACGATTTATTTATTTTTCTTAAGCATAATGAATCAAATAAACTTTTAAGAACTTTATGGGAAAGAATGGCACTTGGTGTATTATAATTTGATATGTACATCTTAATTTTCATAAAAAAGGATTTGAGAGTATAAAAAGAACAATCTGAAATCTAATGGCCTCTTAAATGTATCATCTGCATAGTTATGCAAGATAAAGACACAAAATATTAAGTACACTAATTAAAAAATTAAAAAAACACTTGTTAGTCCTGAGGTGACTCTGCTTTAACAGAATTATTATACTCTAACTTAAAAGCATTGTTTAACCTCCTTGAGATGTTTGTTTTTATGTATGTTCATATATATTACATTAAGTTTTAAAATTGTTTTTATTTTAATCAGCAAGTGTTTCCATGGTGTCAGCCGCTTCAACAGGGCCCCCATCATTAAGAAAAGACTCAACTCCAGTTATAGCTAATGTAGTGTCATTAGCAAGTGCTCCTGCTGCTCAGCCCACAGTGAATTCTAACAGCGTTTTACAAGGTATGACTTAATTTCAAAGCATTTATTTAGCCTTTTTGAGGTGAATATAGTGGTTCTCTATCTTTTTGCCATCAGTGGTCATTATCATACTAGAGGCCTGGTGCACCAATTCCTGCATGGGTGGAGTCCGGCTGGCCAGCCCCAATTGGGGTTGGGGCGCCAATTGGGAGTGGGGCCGACTTGGGGAGGGGCCAACGGCAGTTGGCAGGCTGGCCCTGCCCCCTGGTCAAACTTTCAGTCTAGGGGACAATTTGCATATTAGCTTTTTATTATATAGGATGTTGGATGTATTCATATTAGGAATGGCGGCTCACTGTGGGTTGGTAGGCATTATTATTTTCATAATTTCCAGATATTTTTTTCTCATATTATACTTTAGATGCTAGTCTTTACATGAATTAAATTAAGATAGTACATATTTTTATTATGAGAGACAAAGAGTACTATGCAGATTTTGTCCAGGAGTTTGACCAGGGGGTAGGGCCAGCAGGGAAAGGAAGGGAGGTCCCAGCTGCCAGCTGGCAGCTGCTAGGGACCCTATCAGAGCACTAATTTCATGCCCTAGGCCAATAGTTGTCTAATAATTAGCTTTTAATGCTAATGTTTAATTGTGTAAGATCCTAAATATATATTTTAATTTATATCAGGTGCAGTTCCAACAGTAACAGCAAAAATCATTGGGGATGTAAGTTTTATTTTTATTGGTATTGCCACTGTATTTATGTTCCATTTTGATGTCAGATAAATGTCTAAACTACTTTCTCTTTATTATTATTTATTATATTGAATACATTTTGTGAGCTCATTTAATATTTGTTCAGAAATAGGATTTTTGGTTACTTAATTATGTATTTTATACACTTTAATTTCTTTGAATGCTTGCTATCTTTGAAGTTTTTTATTGTACAGAATTAAAGTTAATTACACAGAAGTCAGGCATAAAACGTTTTGGGAGCATTTGTAATGTAGTCAGATTGTAAATAAGATGTTTCTATAACGAAGTTTGTTTTCTAGCCAGTGAAGAGTATGCGGTAAACAAGCATTACTTTTTTTTTAAACTCAATATTTTTTGCTTTTCTCTTAAAATAAATAATGAGAAAAATCTTATGACTTAAATAGTGGCATTTCTTAAGTGTTTCATGGTCTCTGAGATACCATTGGTATTGTCTTATTTTAAAGTCCCTGAAGTGATCATAAATGATTCTGTTATTTCTAGTTATCTTGAAACTAAAGCTTCTAAGACTTAGTCAAGGAAAACAGTTCTCATTTTAAACTCTCCCAGCTTTGTGCTTAATTAACAATGGTTTACAATAATAGAAATAGCATTTTTCTTGGTAAATAGAATTGGTAAATAGATATATTTAGAATCAATATGTAGTTATTAAAATACTCCTATATTGCTATTTCAGGAATGTATACTATTTCAGGAGTGTTTTCCATATAATTCTAATATAATATTCATTTAAAAATTATAACTTTTGTGTAACAGTAAGCTTTTGAAAATGTCTTTATTTTCTTTGATTAATTTTTTTATTTCTTTTGATTTTGTTTTTAACTAGGCAAGTACACAAACAGATGCCCTGAAACTGCCACCTTCCCAGCCTCCACGACTTTTGAAGAATAAAGCTTTGTTATGCAAACCCATTACACAGACTAAAGCCACCTCATGCAAACCACATACCCAAAACAAAGAATGCCAGACAGGTATATTTCTTGTACTTTTTTTCATTTAATTTTTTTTAAGGGAAAGGAATGTGGGGTCTGCCTAATGTGTTTGGTTGCTAATATAAATTATTGAATTTAGTTCTCACAACATCCCTGTGAATTAGGTATTTTCACCATCTGAGACTTAATAAGTTATGACAGAGAGAAGGTAGTTAATTGATTATACCATACTGTGAACATTTCTTTTAATTTCCTTAATATCTAGAAGTATTGACTTATTGGAATTATATAGATAGGATCTTAATTAAGAGTAACTATTTTTTTTTTTTTCATTTCTCATTCATTTCTTTTTTCTTCTTTCTAATATCTTTATTGTTCAGATTGTTACAGTTGTTTCTCTTTTTCTCCCCTTCATAGTTCCCCTCCACCCGGTTCCCACCCCATACTCTGTCCTTACCTTCTCCCCCATTGTCCTCATCCATAGGTGTATGATTTTTGTCCAGTCCTTTCCCACCCCCCCACACTAGGCAAGTATAGAAACTTGTTCATAATTTTTGTCTTTACCTTTTTCTTCTTCTTCCTCTTCTTAAAGAATGCCCTTCAGTATTTCATATAACACTGGTTTGGCGGTGATTAACTCCTTTAGCTTTTTCTTATCTGTGAAGCTCTTTATCTGACCTTCAATTCTGGATGATAGCTTTGCTGAGTAGAGTAATCTTGGTTGTAGGTTCTTGCTATTCATCATTTAGAATATTTCTTGCCACTCCCATCTGGTCTGCATAGTTTCTGTTGAGAAATCAGCTGACACTCATATGAGAACTCCCTTATAGATAACTAACTGTTGTTCTCTTGCTGCTTTTAATATTCTCTCTTTGTCTTTTGCTCTTGATATTTTTTTATTTTTAAAAAAATATATTTTATTGATTTTGTACAGAGAGGAAGTGAGAGAGATAGAGAGTTAGAAACATCGATGAGAGAGAGTCATCGATCAGCTGCCTTTTGCACACCCCCTACCGGGGATATGCCCGCAACCAAGGTACATGCCCTTGACCGGAATCGAACCCGGGTCCCCTCAGTCCCCAAGCCGACGCTCTATCCATTGAGCCAAACCGGTCTCGGCTTGCTCTTGACATTTTAATTATGATGTGGCTTGGTGTGGTCCTCTTTGGATTCCTTTTGTTTGGGGTTCTCTGCACTTCTTGGACTTGTAAGTCTATTTATTTCACTAGGTAGGGTAAGTTTTCTGTCATTATTTCTTCAAGTAGGTTTTCAGTATCTTGCTCTTTTCTTCTGGCATCCCCATAATTCGGATGTTGGTATACTTGAGGTTGTCCCAGAAACTCCTTATGCTATCTTCATATTTTTGGATTCTTTTTGCTTTACCAGTTGGGTGTTTTTTGCTTCTTCATATTTCAAATCTTTGACTTGATTCTTGGTATCCTCTAGTCTCCTGTTGGATCTATGTGTATTATTCTTTATTTCAGTCAGTGTATGCTTAATTTCTAATTGGTCCTTTTTCATAACCTCGAGAGTCTCACTAAATTTATCAGCAGTTTCTAGAAGATTCTTGAGTAACCTTATAACTGTAGTTTTGAACTCTATATCCTCCATTTCCTTCATTTGTGACCTGTTTCTTTGTTTCCATTTAAAAAAAATATATATATTTTATTGATTTTTTACAGAGAGGAAGAGAGAGGGATAGAGAGCCACAAACATCAGTAAGAGAGAAACACTGATCAGCTGCCTCCTGCACACCTCCCACTGGGGATGCACCCGCAACCAAGGCACATGCCCTTGACCAGAATAGAACCTGGGACCCTTCAGTCCGCAGGCCAATGCTCTATCCACTGAACCAAACTGGTTTTGGCCTTTGTCCCCATTTTGGAAGCATTTTGTCTGCTTCCCTGTGTTGCTAGCGTGGCTTTGTGTGCTAAGTGTTGTAGAGTGCCCAGTGGCTCAGCCTCACTAATTAGTTGAGTTGGCCACTCTTGGTGCACCCCTTTATGGGCTGTGTGCACAGTCTTATTGTAGTTAAGCCTTGATTGTTGTTGGTATCACTGGGAGGAATTGACCTCCAGGCCAATTTACTATGAGGATCAGTTGTGTCTATTATGGGAGAACTTCTGTGCTGGAGATGCCCTTATGTGGCAAGACTTGCTTCACTGGGGCTTTGGTGCTCACTGAGTCTTCTCCCTGAATGTGTCTCTTATGGATCTGAAGAGTTGTAGTCTGGATGGTCTCTCTCTGACCACTGGATACATTAGCTCTTGAATCTCCAAGGAGAGAGGCCACCCAGCAGGAGCTACAAAGAGATCTGCAGATTCCTTCTTTTTGTTTAGGGTTTGGAGGTGCCCAGATGAGGCCCAGCTGTGAAGCAATGCTAGCTGCTGTCAAGCCTTGGATCTTCTTTTGGAGGCTCTTGGGCTTTTTGACCCATTTGCAGTATGTTAGGTTTCAGATTGCAAAGGGCCAGGCCATTCATAGGCAAAAGCTTTTGTGTACAAATTGGGTGGGGCAAGGTTTCAGGGAATCACCAGGGTGGAGCAAACAGCAATGGCTGACCATCAACCTTGCCTGGAAGAGGTCCTGTGTCTCTATGTTCTGTGGCACCTCTGAGAGAAAGCTGCCTTCAAATTCCACCCGATGCCAGACCAGTTTCTCCCCATATGAGTCTGGGTGTCCAGAGTTCCCCCCACCCTGGGACGAGTTCAGAGCAGTCAGAGTTTGTGTCTCCCTCCTGATTAAAAAAAGACAACAGCATACTCAGTTGCCAGCCCTTTCCGCGCCCATGGATGCCTCCGTAACTCTGCAATTCACTTCTGCACCTCCACTTCTCCTCTGAGTCTCACTGTGCTCTTCTCTTCCCTTCTAGTTGTAGAATTCCCACCCAGCCAGCTGTCCTGTGGTTCTGGATGATACCCGTTTTGTCTTTTAGTTGTAGTTTTGAAGTGGTTGTGCAGGGCAGCAATTTCAGGTGTTTACCTATGCTACCATCTTGGTTTTCTTCAAGAGTAACTATTGTCTGCCCCTTAGGCTTGACTTTTTTTTTTTTATATACTCTTTTTCAAATAAAATAAATTTCTTTGAGGAGAGCTTCAAGGCTTCTTTCCTTATGAGCTACCTCTCCCTTCCCCCCACTTCTTCCCCCAGCATAATCATTGAGCCACCTCTAGCCTCTGATCTTCTCAGCTTGCTTGTCCCAGCATGGAATCTTTGCCCCATAAATCTGGAGTGAGGTTGATTGGACTCACTATTCTTATCTGCCATTCCTATAGTAGGGCTTCTATCTTGTGAGTGGGAGCTGAGTGAAGGAAGGGAGCACTCACCAGGAAATTAACTTCTTAAACTTGTACCGTAGTTGCAAGAGATGAGCAATAATGTTGGCCTGCTCCTCCTGGTGAAATATAGTAATCCTTGATTGGGAACTGACTGATGAGAAGCCATTCTTCCTGATTACATCCATCCCCAGAATGCAGCTTCAGTCTGTTGAATGGGGATATGAAGCAGGTGGTGAATCAACTGTTATAGACTACCACGCTTCTTATTGAATTTCAGTAGATTTTCCCGAGAAAATATTTTTCCATTTGCTGTATGCTCTCAGGACAATTTCCAAATAATGTAAATGATTGTTTTTAGCTTTTTTACCAGCTTTGCTTGTTTCACTGGGGAATGTGTCCGTGGAGCTCTTTTATTCCTGTTGCTAAATATAAGCCCCAGAATTTTTCAGTTGGAAAGGAATCATGTATTCCTAGATCCTGACAGGTTATCCCATAGGCCAGTGTTTCTCAAACATTAATATGCATATGAATTACTTTGGAATCTTAACATGTAGATTTTGATTCAGTTAGTCCTAAGGCTTTACATTTTTCACAAGCTCCTGTATGATGTCAATGTTACTGGTCCATGGACCACATTGCATATCAGGCTATAAGTGACTTAGTCCTATATTTTTATTATATCAATAGTTTCTTATTTTGTGTTATGTACTTTGGTTATCAGACGTCTCTATTCTGGTAACTCCTTTTACATTCACTGCACCATGATAAAACTTATCCTGTATTATTTCCTACTTGTAACCCTAATTGAATTGTCAGCTTTCCACTTTTTGTGACTAGCATGGTTTTTCTCCTACATTAATGATTTTATAGTTAGCTAGCATATTTTCTGGCACAAAGAAAGGACTCTATAGATATTTATTAAATAATTGCATGAATCCTCCATCTTTCCTACTTTTCTCTGCTCATATTAGGTTACTGTGTTTCCCCGAAAATAAGACATCCTCCGAAAATAAGACCTAGCACAACTTTGGGAGAAAAAATTAATATAAGACACTGTCTTATTTTTGGGGAAACAGGGTAGTTTCCAATATTTTAGCATCTCTCTATGTAGAAAAGGCTAATATGCAAAGTTTCCCCGCAAGAGTTCTGGAGACAAGGAGTTCGATCGCTTGCTATGATGTGCATTGACCTCAAGGGGATGGTGCAAAATGAAGGAAGTTCCTGGTCAGCAGTTGGCAGCCAGAAGGAAGGCCCTGGCCAGCAGCTGGAAGGCCCTAATCAGCCCTGATCACCAGCCAGGCCTAGGGACCCTATCCGTGCACGAATTTTGTGCATGGGACCTCTAGTCATACACACACACACACACACACACACACACACACACACACACGTTCTTTCTAGGTATCATTATCACATTAGTTCAAGCCTTCATCATGTTAGCTCTACATATTATAATTTCTCCTACTTTTACACTTTATATACTTTTACTCTGTGTACTGCTGGCATCCAAGTTAATCTCTTTAATGCTATTTTTGTCACATTATTTTGTGCTAAAGTATCTGTAATTGTTCCCCACTACCACTAGAAATGATTTCACAAAAATGGCCATTCTACTTATTCAGTCTGCTCTTTAACATAATCTACTTATTCATGTTAACAGTTTTCCATACCCCTTATCTGTGAGCACTGTTCCCATCCTTCCCTTTACTCATCCACATTATATCTTTCATTAATTTTATCTTTATGTAATTGATAATCATTGTGTTGCCCACTTTTTTATTAGTGCTATACTCAAACCTTTCTTTGCTACTTTAGTTATTTTTTCTTCGTCTTTTTTTTTAAGAATATATATATGATATATATATATATATATATATATATATATATATATATCATATATATATTTTTTAATATATTGTATTGATTTTTTACAGAGAGGAAGAGAGAGGGATAGAGAATTAGAAACATCGATGAGAGAGAATCATCAATCAGCTGCCTGTTGCACACCCCCTACTGGGGATGCGCCCGCAACCCAGGCACATCGAACCCAGGACCTTTCAGTCCGCAGACCGATGCTCTATCCATTGAGCCACACCGGTTTCGGCTAAGAATATATTTTTATTGATTTCAGAGAGGAAGGGAGAGGGAGAAAGATAAAATATCAATGATGAGAGAAATTTATCAGCTGCCTCCTGCATATCTCACACTGAGGATTGAGCCCGCAATCTGGGCATGTGTCCTTGACTGGAACTGAACCTTCAGTCTGCACGCTGACATTCTATCCCTTGAACCAAACCAGGGCATTTCTTCTTCTTCTTCTTTTTTTTTTTTTTTTGCATTTCTTCTTTTTATGAACACCTAGTATCACAGATTATATTTCTCTTGAACTGTAAATCTCTGTATACTTTTTAAAAATATTTATTAAGTAATTATTAAAATGTTGTTTCTAACCCTCTTTGTTTTTGTGCTTTTCTTCATTAGAAGACACTCAAAGCTTGTCCCAGGTCATCGTGGTGCCGATTCCTGTACCAGTGTTTGTGCCCATACCTCTTCATCTGTATACTCAGTATGCACCAGTCCCATTTGGAATTCCAGTTCCAGTGAGTAATTATGCAGATGCTAAGATTAAGTCAGTACATCTTTTCATCTAATAAAATTTTAACAAGTTTCATAAAATTTTCACTTTTTGGTAAAATACACCTAACTCTGGTTAGCTATTAATGTATAACCATATTATTTAATGTGGAATATGTAAAGGACTGCTTCTATTTGTAATTTACCATGTGAGAAAAGGCTATAAGGTAGCTTTTTTATATTGTTTTGTATAACTAAATACTGATATTCAATACACTTTTTAATGTTAATGATTCCCCAAAACCATAAATCTCAGATAGAAAATGATCAGAAATTATGTGTTTGTCAGAACACTAAATTCTAGAAAGGTTGAAAAGATGAACATTGTGATTTACATGATTCTTACTTTTTATTAAAGAAAAATGTTGATTTTATTATTAGAAATATACTTTTTCTCAGTATTGAATTCTTAAGGAAACAGTTGTGTGAAAATATTAAGCAAGAAATATCAAAAGCAAAACAAAGGTGTGTTAGATAATTTTCCATGTGGAGAATTCAGATACACATTTTGAGTTTGCAGGAAAGTTCATACTGAATTTTTATTTAAAATGGCTCTATTCTTATAAAAATAAACCAGCAATAGTATTTTAATTATTAGCAATAGAAAAATATCTTAAATTTGTTTATTTTAGTACTTAAATCATCTCGCAAATAATACTTTTGATGATGAACCTATTGCTCAAGAAATTCTTCAGTCTATCCTTGATCTTTCAGATGCCTGTCCCTATGCTTATTCCATCCTCAACGGATAATGAAGATAAAACCACTGAGAGTATTGAAGACCTTAACGAAAAGCTTCCTTCACATTCATTTGAAGCTGATCTCCTTGAGATGGCAGAAATGATTGTAGAAGATGAAGAGAAGAAGACTCTATCTCAGGGAGGTTGGTATAATTTTAAAGTAAAGAAAGAAAAAATACCCCTACACATTTTCATGTAACAAGTAATTTTGGAAATCTGAGAGTAAAGGTGTTCCTAAATGTTTTGTTGTGTTTAAATACCAAGTGTGTGGATTTATTAACCTTGTTGATATCTCTGAAAGTTCTGATTTTTTAATGAAGAAAACTTAAGTGCTGATATTCAATACAGTTTTTAGTGTTAATGATTCCAGAAAACCATAAATCTAAGTTTCGTGATAATTTTTTTATTTTATCCGTATATTGAAATCATGGTCCTCAGATAAGAATTCCTATTTCTGTGTATAAAAGTCAAGCGATTTGAACTGGTTGCTATGACATGCACTATGGCCGGCCAACTGGCTCAATGGGGATGGGGCTAGTTTCTAACTTCCTGCGTCCTCCTTTCCCTCCTCCGCCTGCTGGCCAGCCCCTATCAAGGCTGAGGCGGCTGCTGTACCCCACCTGTGCACAAATTCGTGCACCAGGCCTCTAGTTGTGTAATAACTAGCATGCTAGTAGCAGGATGGAAAACTATTGGCTCAAGTAATTGATACATAAATCTTATTCTGGCTAGAATAATTATAATAATAGTTAACATTTATATGCTTACCATGGTCTAGGCATTGTCCCACATTCACTATGTACTCACCCTGTTTAATATTACAACATCCCTATTGGGTGGGATTACTGTTTCCTTCAGATTCCTCAATTTAAAATAGGATATTTTACTTGCCCAGGCTATACAATCAGGAAGTAAATGAACTAGAAGTTGAATCCAGATTTATCTGACTCCAAAGTAAATGATATATTAATCAGAACTCAGTAATATAGATTTCTGAAGCCTCAATTAGAAGCTCCTGAATTTTGGATATAAGAAGTGATCTCTATATAAAAAAGGCTAAGTGTCCTCTTTCCGTCCAACCTCCAATATTGCTATGTTGCACACTGAACAACAGGGGCAGACTCCAATGCATGAGCTGCCATGACGTGCTTTGGCCATTTCAAAATAAACGGCTCCCTAGCAGGTTTGGCTCAGTGGATAGAGCATTGGCTTGGGGACCGAAGGGTCTCAGGTTCGATTCCGTTCAAGGGCACATGCCTTGATTCCGGGCTTGGTGCAATGAATGTGCAGGAGGCAGCCAACCAATGATTCCCTCTCATCTTTGATGTTTCTATCTCTCTGTTCGTCTCCTTCCCTCCCTGAAATCAATAAAAATATATTAAAAAAAAAATAAACAAAAATAAACAGCACCATGAACCTGGCGTCAACAAACTAACACTCTGCTTCCCCAAAGTGGGACACAGGCCTCACCACCACTCCGGAGCAACACCTTACCAAATCGCAGCCAAAGCTGCCAAGATCCCATGGTGTAAAATGCAGCCCACAGCCCAGTTCAGCCCAGAAATGGTCTCTGTGGTCTTCGGGTAATGACGTCACATAGCAATGCCCAGCTTCCTCTCCCTAGCGACCACTAGCCACCTTGCAGTTTCTTCAGCCCAGGAACCGGACTTGCTTTATAGCGAACATTTCACACTTTAATCAAATGTCTATGAAGTGTTTTCCCAGGCTTTATCTCATTTGATCCTCACAGCAGTCATGGAGTAGGTAGATAGGAGACTCAGTAGAATCCTAGTTTTTTTTCATTAGCTGAAAAACCTTTAGAAACTTGCCCTAACTGAGAAGTAAGAAATGGTAGTACTTGAAACTGACTTCACATTTTCTCACTGCTCAGAATATAGTCAAACACTGCTACAGTTAAATATTTTACTCTTTATTATAGATCTGCATAATCTATAATAATAATTTTATTTATATACTAGTGGCCTGTGCACGGATTCATGCATATTGAAATGAAATTAATTGGAAGAAATATTTTAATATCACTTTTTGCCCTTTCTCTATAATAGAAGGGTCAACCAAAGTCATGATCGACAATGACAGATTGAAATACATGACGTGTGATTTGTGCCAACAAGAGCTTTATATGTATTGCACATGTGTGAGTCAACTTAACCTTTTATAGATATGGAATAAATTTGCTTATGCCCTAACTGATTTTGCTCAGTGGATAGAGTATCGGCCTTCGGACTGAAGGGTTCCAGGTTCATTTCTGGCCAAGGGCACATGCCCTGGTTACAGGCTCGATCCCCAGTAGGAGGCAGCCAATCAATGATTCTCTCTCCTCGTTGTTTCTGTCTCTTTCACTCTTCCTTCCTCTCTATAAATCAATAAAGAAATATATTAAACAAAACAAAACAAAATAATAAACTTGCTTAATTAGACCTTTGTGATTTACCTAAATTTTTTCCAGCCCAGTGAAGCACCCTTGTCTTTCAGGTAATTGTCGGCAATACAACAGTAAATATCAACATGAAGCAGATTATTATTGTAGTTCACGCAGGGAGAACAAAGTGTTAAATATTTAGCTGTAGCAGTGTTTGACTGCTTTCTGTGCAGTGAGAAAAACTGAAGTCATTTTCAAGGTCCACCATTTCTTCTTTTCAGTCAGGACAAGTTTCTAAGCTTTCTAAATATCTGTTTTCTGGCTAATGAAAAGAAATTAGGATTCCTATCTACCTACTCGAGGAGTTCTGTGTTGATCAAATGAGATGAGGCACAGGAAAATACTTCACAGATATTTGGTTAAAATGTGAGATGTTTGTACCTGGCTATAAAGCAAGTTGGATTCCTGGGTTGAAGAAACTGTTAGGAGGTTAGTGGTCACTAGGGAAAGGAAGCTGGAGCTAAATGACTGTCATTAACAGGTTAGACACTTTGCATATTAGCCTTTAAGATATAAAATCCTAAAATGCTAATTGTCTTTAGGACCATTTGACTCGTTTCTGTGATGCACATTGATCACATGGGGGCAGGTGCTCCTAATGGTAGGTTAGCTTGCTGCTGGGGACCTGGCAGTTCGGGACTGGGTGGATCGGGCTGGACATGCCCTGGAGTCCTCCTGAGGTCCCTCCTGGCCAGCCAACTTCCCATGGTCTCTCCTCAACCCGGATTTTGCACCATTGGGGTCAGTTGGTCTGACCTGTGCCCTCTCATATTCCAGGACCCCTTGGGGGGGTGTCAGAGAGTTGGTTTCCTCCAGATCCCCACAAGACAGGCCGAAGAACCCCTAGTATAGTATATAATATAGTTTAGATATAAAAGGTTAAATTGACTCGAGTGTGTGCAATACATATAAAGCTCTCGCTGGTGCCAATGGCACATGTGTGTTTCGATCTGTCATTGTCAATCATAAATTTGGTTGTTTTTGTTGACATTCTGAAGCCGAAAGAAAACGGCATCATCAGCAGAATATGTGTGAAGATCAACTGTTGCCACAACACACCTCTGAAGCCGAAAGAAGCCAGTGTCGTCAACAGAATATGTCTGAAGAAAAACGATTGGCACAGGGTACTTCTGAAGCTGAAAGAAAGCGACGTCATCGACAGAATATGTCTGAAGAACAACTGTTGGCACAACGTACTTCTGAAACTGAAAGAAGCCGGCGTCGTCGACGGAAAATGTCTGAAGAACAGTCATCGACAAGTACTTATTTATTAAAATATTTATTAATATATTAAATTATTTCTTCTAATTAATACCCTTTCAATGTGCACTGGGCCACTAGTGTAATAAGAAGAAGAGAGGGATAAAATGGTGTTTAAGATAGTTGACATACATCAATGAATTTTCACAAAGGTCTTTTAATATATCACTGATGAGCCAAAATATCCTTCTATCCTGACAAATTTTGGGTGTTTTTTTTCAGTGACAGTTTTTACAAAGCTCACTGAGATTTGATTTTGCATAACAAATGCTAGATAATTTTTGAACACTGTAGCATTCGAAAAACTGTTAAGTTTTCTGTTGTGTTGCCAGTAAGTTTTTTAAGGCATATATGTTCTGAGTTATGAGTAAAAAGTGTATTTGTTAATTCCAATGTTTCTGGTCTCATTTTGTTCTTTAGTGTATGGTCTCATTCTGATCCATTTATATATGAATTTTAATATCTTAGAATATTGTCCCTATGCTTACCTTCTAACTCTCTGATATTATATTTGGTTTGGAAGTTCAAGCAATTTCTAATGGTAAACCTCAATTTAAATTGGCTTCTATATTCATGTTAATAGTTAACATTTATCAAGTGCTTCGTCTGTACAAATATAGTGCCTTTGCCTTAGCCTACAATAGGAGTTTGACAGAAGAACTTTCAAAACTAAGCTTCAAGACAGATAGTTGTAATAACTATAGTTAAGTAAAATAAAATAGTTTAAAAACATAAAGGAGGGAAAAATGAATTTCAACTGAAGGGATCTGGCTAACTTATTTTTGATTTCAGGGAAAGAAGTAATTTTTCTGGGTCTTTAAAAAAATAGTTTTTATTACTTTGAATCCTTAAGCTTCTTTTATTTTTTAAAATATATGTTTTTATTGATTTTAGAGAGAGAGGAAGGGAGTGGAAGAGAAAGAAGCAGCAATGTGAAAGATAAATATTGATTGGCTGCCTCCTGCACGCCCCTACTGGGAATCAAGCCTGAAACCTGGGCATGTGCTCTGACTTGGAATCAAACTACCAACTTTTTGGTATATGAGATGATATTCAAAAATCTGAACCCCACACTGACCAGTGCTAGCTTCTTACCTTTAAAATAGTTTATAATTGATAGTTTAATTGATAGAACTGTATTCTGTTTAATTCCATGTGTAAGCTGCTCATGTAACTTATATTCTAATTCTGTTGGTTTTCCAATGCAGTGTTATAGCATCTTATATTTTAGAGGTAGGAAGGAATTTAAACAGATTTCTCAATCTGTGAATATGGTGTGTGTGTGTGTGTGTGTGTGTGTGTGAGAGAGAGAGAGAGAGAGAGAGAGAGAGAGAGAGAGAGAAAGAGATGGATGGTGGTGAGGAAGAATTTCAGGTAGCACACAAGTGCAAAAATGCTAAATAAAGGTGTCTTTTGTCATGACTTCTTTCATACTGCTACCTAGAACTTGAACTGCTGTTATGTCATTATTTAACTTCATTTACTACTATGCCTACTTTTATAATGAAACATTCTTTCTGCATATGAAGGTTATTTTCTTAGAACTCTCTCTGTGATTCATGTATGTAGTACCATCATTTTATTTTGATTCTGTTGGCTTTGTGTATACCTATAAATTATTTACTATGTGCTTTTCTTTTTCTTTAGGATCCCAAACTTCTGAACAGGAACTCTTTCTAGACACTAAGATATTTGAAAAAGGTTTGTAATTGTAAATATATTTTGGATCTTAGAATTATGTACTGTCCTGTTAGTAATATCCATAAAGTATTAGCATCCTTGGATTAAATATTTGAAATTTTTTCTATTTTAGGGGTACAAGATGTGTATGATTATGTGTTAATTTGTAATGAGAATAATAAAAGTTACCTCAAATATTGTTTTGTTTCCCCCTCAAATATTGATTTTAAAGATTGAGATAATACTTTAAACTGTATACCAATAATTTTTAATCCAGTTCTGTGAGACTGGTAAATAAGTTACTTTAATGTTTAGTGTACCTAGGTAATTGTTCCCAACCATATCTGTTTTTGGTATTTAGGGGTTTCAGAAAGTTTCTGGCTGTGTTAACAGTCTATCTTATTTTGAGGCTGTGTTTTCTATCTCAGACCAAGGAAGCACATACAGTGGTGATCTTGAATCAGAGGCAGTATCTACTCCACATAGCTGGGAGGAAGAATTGAATCATTATGCGTTAAAGTCAAATGCCGTGCAAGAGGCTGATTCAGAGTTGAAGCAGTTTTCAAAAGGGGAAACTGAACAGGATCTGGAAGCAGACTTTCCATCAGGTTTGTGTAGTGTAACTTGTCCACTGAAAGTCTTTTATTTTAGAAGATTGGTACAACTCCAAATTGACATTATAAAGCAATTATAATGTATGATAATAATCTAGGGCACACATGGTTATTGCCTTTGAAGGTGTTAATTTGTACCACTTTGTTCTTATTAAGATGTTAATTTGTGTATGTTTTTAAGCTTTCCCACAGTAACCACAAAGGTGGTTTTCTTGATTGTTTATGAACTCCTACTTTATTATTTATTTTATTTTATTTTATTTTTTTATATTTTATTGATATTTTACAGAGAGGAAGAGAGAGGGATAGAGAGTTAGAAACATCGATGAGGGAGAAACATCGACAAACTGCCTCTTGCACACCCCCTACTGGGGATGTGCCCGCAACCAAGGTACATGCCTTTGACTGGAATCGAACCTGGGACCTTTTATTCCGCAGGCTGACGCTCTATCCACTGAGCCAACCAGTTTCGGCTGAACTCCTACTTTAAATATAATATTTTTTATTTCTCTTAAGTATATATGTAAAATTTTTATGTTATTACAAATAAAATAATGAATATAGTTGATTATTATCTGCTGTTTTCTTTCTGTCTTAGTCTTTAAGTCTGTGAGTTATTTGTCTCACATTATGCTTTCTGCTGATTCTTATAGAATCCTTTGACCCATTGAGTAAAGGGCAGGGAATCCAGGCTCGTTCCCGAACAAGACGACGGCACCGAGACGGCTTCCCCCAGCCCAGACGAAGAGTAAGCAACAGATTCACTTTTCTTTTTGTCTGTTTATTCTGATTAATTCCAGTTTACAAAACTCTGTATTGCCAGGATCAGGAGCCTCCATACTTTATTTTACAACCTCGTGGTGTGTGTGTGTGTGTTTCTTAAAGTCAACCATTATCTTATATTTTACATTTCTTTCAGCTGGGATTTTTAAAATTTTGTTTTTATAATTGAGGTTTTCTGCTTTGTTTTGTTTGTTTACTTTAAAAAGCTTTTTACAATCTTTATTATAAAATTTTTATTTTTTTAAAGTCTAAATTTAGCTTTTAAAAATACTATAATGAGGCTCACTAGTTTATATAATCTATATCTATAAAAGGCTAAGTGTCCATCTGTCTGATAGTAGCTCTGATACCCACTGTCAGGGGGCAGACAGTCAACGTAGGAATTGCCATCATGTGCACTGGCCATATATATATATATACACATCCTATCTAATAAAGAGGGATTATGCAAATTGACCATCACACCATCACAAAGATGGCAGTGCCCAGACCTCTCAGACCCGCCAGAGTCCCAGTCCTTTCAGCCCAACCAGAGAGTGCAGCAGGTGCATGGTGTGGCCGTACCCACCCTCAGCCCCCCAGCTGCCCAGAGCTGGCCTGAGGCACAGGCAAGCCTTGGATGTTGGCTGCCTAGCTGACGCCTGAGGTGCAGTCAAGCCTTAGATATTGGCTATCCAGCCACTTGGGGTCGGCCCGAGGCGCAGGCAAGCCTTGGATGGCAGCTGCCCAGCTGCCCAGGGCTGCCTAAGGCTTAGATAACCAGGGCCAGCTGAGGCTTGTGCTGCCGGTAGTGGCAGCAGCAGAGGTGTGATGGGGCGTCACCTTCCCCTAATCACCAGGTCACCTCCCCGCCCCTGAGGGCTCCCGAACTGTGAGGGGGGCAGACCGGGCTGAGGGAATCCCCATCCATTGCATGAATTTTCATGCACCGGACCTCTAGTCTAGTTTCAAAGCCTAGGTGACCGTTTGACCAGTAGCTATGACGCGCACTGACCACCAGAGTACAGGTGATCAACACAGGCATGGAAACATGGGACAGAATGATGAATCTCAGAGGGGAGAGGGGAGGGTGAGAAGATTTTAACCAAAGTTCTTATATGCATAACAGAGGCCTGGTGCATGGATTTGTGCACTGGTGGGATCTTTGGGCTGGCCTGCAGGGATTGGGTTGAAACTGGCAGGCCAGGGGAAACCCCCCCCCCCGCCCCCCCACCCCCCCGATGCACAAATCTGTGCCCTGGGCCTCTAGTTTAAAAATAAGCAACACCATGGACCTGACCTTGACAAACTAACACTCGCCTTCCCCCAAGTGGGATACACGCCCCGCCACCACCTTGAAGCAACACCCCACCACATTTTAGGCAATGCTGCCAAGACCCCATGGCACAAAATTCGGTCCACAGCCCAGTCCGGAAACATTTGCTGTGAGCGTTGGGTAATGACTTCATGTAGCAACACCGGCTTCCTCTCCCTAATGACTAGCCTCCTTGCAGTTTCTTCAGCCCAACTTGTAGCCAAACGTTTTACAGTTTAACCAAATGTTTGTGAAGCCTTTTCCCATGCCTCATCTCATTTGATCCTCATAGAAGTCCTGGAGTAGATAGATAGGAGACTTAGTAGGATCCTATTTTCTTTTCATTAACCAGAAAACAGATATTTAGAAAGCTTAGAAACTTGTCCTGACTGAAAAGAAGAAATGATGGACCTCGAAAATAACTTCAGTTTTTCTCACTGCACAGAATACAGTCAAACACTGCTGCAGTTAAATATTTTACCCTTTGTTCTCCCTGTGTGATTTACAATAATAATCTGCTTGATATGTTGATATCTACTGCTGTGTATCCAAAAATTACCTAAAAGAGAAGTTGAGGTGCTTCACTGGGTTGGGAAAAGTTTAACTAAATGAGAAAGCAGGTCTAATTAAGCAAATTTGTTCTATATCTATAGAAGGCTAAGTTGACTCACGCATGTGCAATACATATAAAGTTCTTGCTGACTCCAACCGCATGTGTGTGTTTCAATCTGTCATTGTCAGTGGTGAATTTGGTTGACACTTTTATTATAGAGAAAGGGCGAATAGCGATATTAAAATATTTCTTCTAATTAATTTCCTTTCAATGTGTATGAATCTGTGCGGCAGGATACTAGTATAGTATAATAGTGACGTCCATATGGACTTTCCCATACCAAAATTAAAAGAATAATGGCTGTATTTCTTTTTAGCTCTATTGAGTTATAGTTACATTTACAATTTTACGTCTACAATTTGATGGGCTTTGAATGTATGCATATAGACTACCATCATAATCATAACACTTAACTCAGTCCCAAAGGTTCCTTTGTGATTTTTTGCAATCCTTCTTCATCTCCAACTCCTGGAAACCACCAGTCTGTTTGCAGGTCTGCCTGAAATGGTATTGCGTTGCCTTTCCTGAAATTTCATATACATGGAATCATGTCGTTTGTAGTGTTCTGGGTCTAGCTTCCTTCATTTAACATTATATATTTGTTTTTGTTTTTTTAGAGAGTGGAAGCAAGAAGGGAGGGAGAGTTAGAGAGAGCAAGAGGCACATTGATTGTTCGCCTCCTGCATGAGCCCTGTCCTGGGCTGGGGATCCAATCTGTAACCCAGTTGGACATAGAACCTTTGGTGGGCAGTTGATCCTCTAACTACTGAGCCAAACTGGCCAGGGCTGGCATAATGTTTTTGAGGTTCATCCATGTGTCTCATGTATCAGTAGTTTATTCCTTTTTATTTCTGAGTAGTACTTTAACTGTGGGCAGATTTCAGCAGTGAGGCCTGCTCTGAATTTTTTTGTAGGAAGGTTTTAAGCTATTAATTCAATTTCTTTGGCTATTTAGGTTATGTATTTCTTCTATAGCAAGCGTTGTCAGTTTGTATCTTCCAAAATATTGTTTTTCTTTTATCTAAGATGTCAAATTTATTGGAATGACAATGCTCACGATATTTGTTTACTATCCTTTTTATGTCTATTGGATTACATATTAGTAATCTTTGTTTGCTCCTTTTAAAAATAATTCTAGCTAGATGTTTATGAATTTTTTTTATCTTATAAAAAACCTGATTTTAGTTTTATTCCGTTTTCTCTACCCTTTTTTTAAAATGATATTTGCTCCTGTTTTTATTATGTTCTTCTTTTCATTTGTGTTTCAATGTGTGCTTCTTTTTCTAGTTTCTTAAGATAGATTATTGGTTTTAGACTTTTTCATTTCTCATAAATCATCTTAATGCTATAACTGTTCCTGAGCAATGTTGTAGCATCATCACAAACATTTTGATATATTTTGTTTACATTTTCACTTACATTTAAAATATTTTATTAATTGCATTGGTGGTTTCTTCTTTGACCCATGAGGTATTAATAAATGTGCTGTTTAACTTCAGTTTTTAGTATTCTCTTAGCATAGTTCCATTATTGGTTTCTAGTTTAATCACATTATAGTTAGAGAACTTTTTGAGGCTTTTTTATACCATGAATATGTTCTGTTCATATGTTCATTAAACAGACCTGATAGTAAATGTTATTCTATCGGGTCTAGTAATAATTAATGTCGTTTTAAACATTCGTTTAAAATCTTGCTTGGCATTGACTTGTATTGACATAACCTTCAAACACGTGGTATCTACAGAACGTGTGAAGTGCAATTAACAAGTTTTGCTTGAAAAAGTTTGTGTTTGGTTTGGTTTTTGTTGCAAAACTAGGGCTAAGAAGATGGCGGATGAAGAGCATATTCGGCACTGCATGCTTTACGAGTTCCAATTAGGAAGAAAAGCAAGTGAGGCTGCAAAAAACATCTGTAGTGCTCTTGGTCAAGATGCAGTTAGCGCCAGAAAATGCCGGCGTTGGTTTGAGAAATTTCGCGAGGGAAATTTTTCATTAGATGACAGGAGTGGTCAAGGCCGTGTGTCCAATTTTGATCAAGAAGCTCTTCAAGCTCTTTTGGTGCAAAATCCTCAAATTACCCAACAAGAGCTTACGACAACTTTAAATTGTTCACAAAAAATAATTTTCAATCAATTGCGTGCACTTGGCAAAGTCCAAAAGTTTGGAAAATGGGTTCATCATGAGTTGACCGACAACAACTGTAATCAAAGAGTCACAATTTGCAGTTCGCTCCTCTCTCGTCAAAACCGTTTGCCGTTTTTAGAGCAAATTGTTACCGGAGATGAAAAACGGGTGCTGTATGTTAATTTGAAAAGGTGGCCTCAGTGGTTGGACAAAAATGAGGCTCCGCAGCCCACGCCAAAACCTGACTTGCATGCGAAAAAAGTGATGTTGTGTGTTTGGTGGAATTTTAAAGGAATTCTTCATTATGAACTTTTACCATCTAACCAAACCATTACAAGTGCAGTGTATAGTGCCCAATTGGAAAGGTTAGCCCAAGCTTTAAGAGAAAAAGAACCCGCGCTGATTAATCGGAAGGGCGTAATTTTTCACCACGATAACGCACGACCGCATACTGCAAGAATCACTGCTGAAAAACCGTGCCAGTTGGAATGGGAAGTTCTCCCTCAACCTGCATATTCTCCTGATATTGCCCCTTCCGATTACCATTTGTTTCGTTCTTTGCAAAACTTTCTTCTTGGAAAAAATTTAATAATGAAGAATGCCTCAAAAATGCATTGACCGAATTTTTTGCATCAAAATCACAAGAATTTTACAACAGAGGGATTAAAATGCTTCCTGAGCGTTGGGCACAAGTAGTAGAAAACAATGGCAACTATATTGTTGATTAAACTTTGTTGTATTGTTTAAATAAATTCGATTTAAAAAAAGGTATTAGAAAACGACATTAATTATTACTAGACCCAATACCTTTTTGGTAGGTCCAGATACTGGACCATGGTAAATACTCAAATGCTAGTAATAATCACATGTGGTCTTCCATATTTCAACTTTCTTTTTTTTTTTTTTCTCCAAAGGTCGTTTCAGCTCTAAGAACTCTGAATCTTTTAGATCTAATACTAACTTCCATATTCTGAAAAACGTATGCCCTTTCTAGCTTTGAGAACGCTGATTCTTAAAGATCCAAGGCTAAAGTTTATATTCTGTATTTTTGGAATTCTGACAGGGACGAAAGAAGTCTATAGTACCTGTGGAGCCCAGGAGTCTTATTCAAGGAGCCTTTCAAGGGTGCTCCGTGTCTGGGATGACACTGAAATACATGTATGGGGTAAATGCCTGGAAGAACTGGGTTCAGTGGAAAAATGCCAAGGAAGAGCAGGGGGATCTGAAATGTGGCGGTAAATATACAGCATGAATTTGTATTTTGACTCAGGGGATAAAGGGAATACAAATAAATAAATTAATCTACGCTAAAAGGATAAATACTAGGTCAGAAATCCCATAAAACTCTAGTTTTGGCTGTACTTAATTTTCCCCCATTTTTATTTAAACTCCTTATTTATTTATTTATTTGTTTATTTTCCCTTTCAGGAATTGAACATGTCTCGTCTAGCCCATGTTCTGACCCCTTAGGAAATGCTCAAGACCATGCACTCTCCCAGGACTCCTCAGAGTCAGTCTGTAGAGGTAAAACTCATTTTGTTGTGATCATTTGTAATATCATTGTCAATTTCAGATTATAAATGAAATATTTAAAATTATTAAGAAATTGAAGTCTTAAAAAATGAGATACTACTCCCAATTTTAAAGGTTTGTTATAAAGGTAAAATTGTATCTTTCGATCATGAGTTTATTATGTTAATATAAGGGATTTTGTTTCTTTTTCTTAAACTTTACAAGTAGCTCAGATTCTTTATTTACCTGTTTAACTCTTCTTCACCTTTCAAGGTTTAACGTTAGTGTCACATTCTCCAGAATCTGAGCTGACCCTTCTCGTTTATTAGATTTCCTTCATTTATTTTCATAGTATCCCATTTAAATAAACATCTTATCATAGCATCTGTGACACCATATATACTGCATTGCATTTATTTCTTTAACTAAAAAAAACCTTGCGATCAGGATCTGTCTGTAATCCATGTATTCAACAATGTACACCATAGCACCTGGGGCACAGTAGTCAATGTTTATTCAATGAATTAAGTAAATGGTACTATATTTCCTTTTTTGTTATTGTTTAATAATTTTTAATTAATTTCAGAGAGGAAGGGAAAAGGTGAGAGAGAGAAAAACATCAGTGATGAAAGAGAATCATCAATTGGCTGCCTCCTGCATGCCCCACACTGGGGATCAAGTCCACAACCCGGGCATGTGCCTTAACTGAGATTCGGACTGTGACCTCCTGGTTCATAGGTCGATTGTAAACCACTGACCCATACTAGCCAGGCATTATATTTCTTATCAGTTAATATTTCAGATGTCTTCTACCTTTCTACAGTCCGCTCTATCAAGCTGAAGGAAGATATTCTGTCATGCACTTTTGCTGAGTTGAGTGTGGGCTTATGCCAATTTATCCAAGAGGTGCGGAGACCAAATGGTGAAAAATATGATCCAGATAGTATCTTATACTTGTGCCTTGGAATTCAGCAGGTATTAAATTCAATAATTGTTATAAAATGTTACATTTTTAATAATTCTGATAGGACTTGTGAATTCAGTTGAAAAATTATAATGTTTATTGATTGGTTGGTATTGTTTCTATTTTTTTATTTAACAAAATTTTTTTTAATGACATTTTACATTTACTATAATATTATTTGTGATAGTTTCAGTTGTGCGGTACTATGATTAGAACCCTTTACAAAGTATTCCCCCTTGTTCATGAAGCACTTACCTTGATTTAAAAAAATCTTGATCATGTAGTCTTTTGTATACTGAATTGAGAGTATCAGTAGAATAGCAGAAATTGAGGATGGTGCATTTTATTTGTTAAATGAACAAAGAAAAACACAAAAATAGCAATCCACATAAGAAATGACACAGGAGACTGTGTGGTGAATGTGTGTATGTATTTATATAAATCATATAGTCTCATTCACATTTTAAAAAATACTAATTAAAATAATAGTTACATCATTATTTGCCCATCACATTAGCTAAAGTAAAATTATAACAGTGATAAAAGTTCTGTGAGTCGAGTTCACCTTTAGAGCAGGTGGAAATTAGTATATATTTTCTAGAATGCAGTTTTGAGCATGTTTCAGGAATATAATTAAATATACTATTTAAAAAATACTTTTTTATTGATTTCAGAGAGGAAGGGAGAGGGAGAGAGAGATAATTGATTAGCTGCCTCCTGCATGCTGCACACTAGGGATGGAGCTCACAACCTAGGCATGTACCCTGACGAGGGATAGAACCGTAACCTCCTGGTTCATAGGTTGATGCACAATCACTGAGCCACGCCGGACAGGCTGTTAATACTATTTTTGCAAGTAGTTCACTTGGGAATCTGTTAAAGCTAATACTATGACATCATTGCACAAAATTAGAAGCAACTTCACTGTCCATCAAAGTATAAGAGTTAAGCAAATTATATTTATAAAGTTGTATATTATGTAGCCAAAAAAAATTGTTTAAAGTGACTTCTAGTAATATGTAAATATTAATATTAAAGCATTGAACCAGAGTGTATGTTTTATGCATATCACTGTATATTAACATGTAGTGGTTTAAAAACTAGTCATAAATACACATAACAAAATGCAATGCATCCAAAATGTTTATAGCGGTTGTCTTCTGGGGATGGTAGAACGCTGGATGTCATTGCATTTTTCTTTTCTTTTCTTTTTTTTTAATATATTTTATTGATTTTCTTACAGAGAGGAAGGAAGAGAGATAGAGAGCTAGAAACATCGATGACAGAGAAACATCAACCAGCTGCCTCTTGCACACCCCCTACCGGGGATGTGCCCGCAACCAATGTACATGCCCTTGACCGGAATCGAACCTGGGACCTTTCAGTCCGCAGACCGACGCTCTACCGATGAGCCACCGGTTCGGCGATTTTTTCTTTTCTTACTTGGCCAAATTTTCATCCACTATTTTTGGGGGTTGGAGTATTTTATTTAAGCATTCATTCTTAAAGTTTTATTTTTATTAACTTCAGAGAGAGGTAGGAAGAGGGAGAGAGAGATAGAAACATCACTGATCAATCCATTGATTGGCTGCGTCATGCATGCCTCCTGCGTACCACCACCCTGGGAATTGAGCCCACAACCCCAGCATTTGCCCTTGACCGGAATTGATCCCGGGACCCTTCAGTCCACAGGCCGAACGCTCTATCCATTGAGCCAACCTGATAGGGCAATGTTTTGTTTTTTAATTAGGTAAGTAATGTGTGCTCAGTGTAACCGTAGGAAAAATTTTTCTCCCTCCATTCCCATTTCCCAAGGTAACAGTGCTGCAGCAGAAGTCATTTTTTTTGGGGGGGTGGGGGGGGGAATGGTAAGATATGTATACAGATAATAATTTAATAAAAAAAAATTTTTTTAAAGTGGTTTATAATTTTGTAAGGGAAAAATAAAGGGTAACCTATGTTCTTTAAAATATTTTTAAAGAAATGTTTATATTAAAAAATTTTATTGGGGTGACATTGGTTAATAACATAAATTTTACCTAAAATAATCTTTAAAAAAAGTCTCTTTGTATCAACATGTGTTTCCACTTTTATTCTCTTGTAGTACCTGTTTGAAAATGGTAGAATAGATAACATTTTTACAGAGCCCTATTCCAGATTTATGATTGAACTTACCAAACTCTTGAAAATATGGGAACCTACAATACTTCCTAATGGTAGGATGATTAATTTTTTTTTCCATGATACACTTTCTAAAATTACTTAAGTTGTAAGATTATCTTTCTATAAATTGTTTTCTATTTTTGTCCTGATTTGTAATGTATTTGAACTCCTAAGGAGAAAGTCTTGGGTTAATCATTGATTACTAGAGGCCCATTGCATGAAATTTGTGCACTTGTGGGGGAGTCCCTCAGCCAAGCCTGCACCCTCTCGCAGTCCGGCAGCCCTTGGGGGATGTCCAACTGCCGCTTTAGGTCTTTTCCGTCAGTCGGACGGAAGTGGGAGAGGCTCCAGCTATCATGGAAGTGGGAGAGGCTCCAGCCACTGACGCTGCACTTGCCAGCCATTAGCTCAGCTTCTGGCTGAGTGGTATTCCCCCTGTGGAAGCATGCTGACCACCAGGGGGAAGCTCCTGCATTGAGCATCTGCCCCCTAGTGGTCAGTGCGTGTCATAGTGACCAGTTGTTCTGTTGTTCAGTCCATTTGCATATTAGCTTTTTATTATATAGGATTTTAGTGAAACTATACCTTCCAAACAGTTTGCGTTTACATACTACTAACTATTGAAAAATTTTTAAAAATTACTGAAGGTTCCATTTACAGTTGTAGAAACTGTTTTTGTTCTGGTAATGCTGGTATTGTTGCATGCTGTAGTAGTAACTGCCACATATTCTACTCCTGGACTCTACCTGTTGGCAGTGGGCCTTCTTTAATTGTTTATAAAGTACCTTGAACTGGTTATTGAGACTTAAATCTTGATCTTTAATTGTCTTTGACCATAAGTCATGGGACAAACCCCTAATTCATGCCTGGTCTTAGGCTCCTCAGAATTTAAACTAAGAGGAGGATCATTTCTTAGCCTTTATCTTGGCTAAAATCAAGAGTAAAGTAAGAGGGCATTGGAAGAAGGGGGGCACTATCTGCCTTCTTAAAATCTTACCTAAATAAAATTGAACCAGTTAACAGGAAGTGTATTGAACTGGAACAGGAGTCTGCAATCTGTGGCCCATGGACCATATCTGGCCTGCTGCCTGTTTCTTGATGTGGTCCATCAGCTAAAAATGGTTTTTACATTTTAAACGGTTTTGGGGCAGGGGGACTCTAAGGAATAATAATATTGTGAGGATGTGAAAATTATATGAAACTCAAATTTGTGTCTATAAATAAACTTTATGGAATATTACAGCTATATCTATTTGTTTATGTTTTGTCTGCAGCTCCTTATCTTCTACAACAACAAAGTTGTTCAGAGCCTATATGGTCCAAAATGCTTAAAATATTTACCATCCGGCTCTTTACAGAAAAAGTTTGCTGGCTCCTGGTCTACAGTAGCAGTAGATTTAAGCTGTTTCGGGAGGATGCTCAGTGTGCAATCATCTTACCTTTTCCTTGTAGTGCTTTCTCTTGTTTTTCTGTATACAGAGGAGGGGGAAGGAGGGGAACAATCAGTTCCCCTCCTTCCCCCATGTCTTGTCTGAGAATTTTAGGAACTTCTTGTTTTTTTTTATCAGGAGCTCAATGCTGTCTCTCCTCCATCCCCTACCCCCTTCTTCGGTCCAGGTTACATGTTCTCTCGCATTGAAGAAGAACATTTGTGGGAGTGCAAACAGCTGGGCGCTTATTCACCAATTGTCCTCTTGAACACCCTTCTTTTCTTCAATACCAAATACTTTCAACTAAAGAATGTTGCTGAGCACTTGAAGCTTTCCTTTGCCCATGTGATGAGACGGACCAGACTTTTGAAATACAGTACCAAGATGACATATCTGAGATTCTTTCCACCTTCACAGAAGCCAGAGTCAGAACCAGGTGTGTAGTGGAGTTTGGAAGATTTCTATTGAAGTCTCAGTATTCAAGTAGAAACTCATTGCAGAGGGATAATTGTGTAGCTTTTGTTTAACATTTAAATGCTTTCTGTCACGGCTTTTTCAAGGCATTTTCTCAAAATAAGAGGAATCGCTTACTTTCATTGTTAAGTGAGAAATTCTGATAGCGTTGGTAGAGCCCAATTAATCCTTATTTTAAAACCTCCCATGGAATTTAAATATATAACTAAGTTGAGAATCACTGATTTAGGGGTAACAGATGGGTCAATTACTAGTTAAAGGAATCTGTTTAACTTTTAAATCCCCTGTTTCTAAGTCTTTTTAGACCAGAGAACCTCTTTTTAGTTAACAATAAGATGTCAAGTTTTGAAGAAACTATAAAGGTGTTTTAGAGTTTACTGCTTTTATACACAATAGAATAATAGCAGTGATGACAATTTTATAAGGGTTATGGTATGAAATTTATTGATTTTAACCAAATTTGTAAGTTCTAAAATTCCAAAAATCCAGTTGTTACTTTCTTGGGATAAGAGTGAAATATATAGCCCTCACTGATTTGGCTTAGTGGATAGAATGTCGACCTGTGGACTCAAGGGTCCCAGGTTCGATTCTGGTTAAGGGCATGTACCTTGGTTTCCAGCTCATCCCCAGTGGAGGGTGTGCAGGAGGTGGCTGATTGATTTTTGTCTCTTATCAATGTTTCTAACTCTCTATCCCTCTCCCTTCCTGTCTGTAAAAAAAATCAATAAAATATGTATTTTTTAAAAGAGTGAAATATATATTTTGAATGTGAGAATTTAAAATTATTCAAAGTAAAATCTTAAAGAATAATTTTTATTTTTATTTTTGTGTTAACTTTTTCCTCCTTTACTTTAGAAAATACTAAGATTTATTTGCTTGTTCACCACGTGTCTGTCCTATTTCCTTCTATTTGTTCATATAGGGCCCACTTTGTGTTCTTAATTGATATCAGTTGGGGAGGAGAGGCAGTCAGGTAACAGTTCCCTGTTTTTTCATCTCAGGTGCCTAATAAGATTTGTAATAAGTTCAGCTTCTTTTCTGAATGAGTATCTAACAAAGTCTTCCTTATTTAGATAGCCTCTAAGTAGAAAACTTAGAGCGAATTGTTTAAATAATAATTAATGCAGGAAGCCGGGGAAAGTTGTGTGCTGGTAAGAGCAACTATAAGAAAAGGAAAAGAAAGCCTTTTTCCTCAGTCCTCAGACCCACCTATTATTCTCTTGACTATTGAATGGGAAAGTGGAAAAGAAAGAGCCCACTTGCCATGTCTTCACCCTCGGCTCTGCAGTGTTCTGTTAGGGGAAAGGATTTGCTCTTTTCTTAGCAAATGCTCACTTTATTGAGAGTTTCTGTTCCCAGCAAAGGTTCCTTTTCTTATAATACTATGGCAAATAAAAGAAACTTTAACAAATGTCCATAGGGCACTGATGCCTCATTGTGGAAATACTTTATTTATTTTAATCCTCACTTGAGGGCATGTTTTTATTTTATTTGAGAGAGAGAGAGAGAAACACACACACACACACACACACACACACACACACACACACACAGAAACAGAGAGAATCAGAGAAACATAAGTGTGTGAGAGTACCATCAACATCGATCAGTTGCCTCCTTCCAATATGCACCTCAACTAAGGGTGGAACTCATAACCTAGGTATGTGCCCTGATTGGGAACATCCTTTTGATGTGTGGGGTGATGCTTCAATCAACTGGGCTACCCGGCCAGGAGAGTATAAATATTTTTAGATACAGAGGTAAACATTTCCATCTTAATGTCCACCATAGGGGAAGAACACCTGAAACCCTTAAGAACCCTGTGCCTGTTAAAATCTCTTCAGGTCAGGCTCAGAAGTGAGACAGACTCTCTTGCACAGTGCTTTTCACCATGTTCCCCCTACTTTGGTGAGCTGGGGAAAATAACTTACAGGACAGGGACTTTGCTTTATTCAATGCTGTTAACCCTGAGCTTAAAATTATATCTATCGAATAGCACCTCCATAGGTGCCCAGTAAATATTTGTTGAATGAGTAAGGGAAAGAAAAGGGGAGGGAAGCAAAGCTTGGGTGTCTTAATACTTGAAAAATATAATTTTTTTTATTATTTTCTGCCTCAAGATAAACTAACTGTTGGCAAAAGGAAACGAAATGAAGATGATGAGGTTCCGGTGGGTGTAGAAATGGCAGAGAATACGGACAACCCACTAAGATGCCCTGTCAGACTTTATGAGTTTTACCTGTCAAAATGGTAAGTACTCTTGCCCTGAACTAGATATAGTATTCTTCAAAAAGAAGTTAACATACTCTGGATTTCAGATGCTTGAATATCAGAAATGTAGCTCGCCTCTGACTAAAGTCAAAGTCTAAAGATGGATTTACCTCCTATTTCATTATTTCCCCATTCTTGTAGCTTTCTGTATTTTGAACTAAGAAACAAATTGCTTTACCTTGATAATCTTTTTCCCAAAAATCTCTTCAAAAGCAAGAATAAGAATCCTTGCCATCATTTGATCTTTGCAACTGTTATCTAAATTGCTGTGATTTTTAAAAAAAATTTTTTTTATTGATTTTTGTACAGAGAGGAAGGGAGAGAGATAGTTAGAAACATCAATGAGAGAGAGTCATCGATCAGCTGCCTCTTGCACATCCCCTACTGGGGATATGCCCGCAACCAAGGTACATGCCCTTGACCAGAATTGAACCCAGGGCCCTTCAATCCCCAAGCCGACGCTCTATCCATTGAGCCAAACGGTCCCGGCTAAATTGCTGTGATTTTATTATTTATATAGAAAAGATATTTAGAGGAGCTTTTAAATTGCTAAAACTTTAAGTACAAAAAACAATTTCTTGTTAAGGTCTTGGAAATTTTTGAGTGATTTTTTTCTTACAGAAACTTTATGACTTATAAGATCACACCAATGCACTTTTCACTCAAAGAAATACAATGACTGTTTGCCCTTTGAAAATGTGTATTGAGAGCTCATAGGGTTCATTCCAGGATAGTGGGTGCTGGGAAATGTGGTTCTCAGCCATAGTGTCACATGTTAGTTAAATTTGTTGCTCCTAAAAATGTAAGTACTAAAGTCTGTGAAGGATTTACACTGTGACTTCTACTAACATTAGACTCACTTCCAAACCAATATTGAGTGTGGGAGAAAAGATGTGGAGTTATAGATTGCTCCTGGTGGGAAGTGTTTATAAACTGTGTGTGTACGTTGTTGATCTGTGATATAAATCAGAGCAGAGCGAAGTTGAGAGCCATTACATTAAAAAGTAGTTATGTATTACCTCTGCCCTCTGATTCCCAATTTTCTTTCTTTTTTCTCTTTTTCCTGTGGATAGTTCTGAAAGTGTGAAGCAGAGGAATGATGTGTTTTACCTTCAACCTGAGCGCTCCTGTGTCCCGAATAGCCCCATGTGGTACTCCACATTCCCGATAGACCCTGGGACCCTGGACACCATGTTAACACGTATTCTCATGGTGAGGGAGGTACACGAAGAACTTGCCAAAGCCAAATCTGAAGACTCTGATGTTGAATTGTCAGATTAAAGCAGAAGTGGGGTTCCTATTTTCATACACATTGGTATGCACCAAACTGTGAATGCATCCAAGCTTTGGAAAACGATGTATAAGTCCAAGTCCCCTTGACTTGATTATAACATAATGGAAAATAGATAACTCGTGAACCACAGAGTGGATGTACAAATGAAAATTGAAGGAAAAAATGTGAACTGAGAAATGTTCTTTGGCAGTGATATAGTTCTTAGACATCTTCAGAATGACTAACCAATTTCTCCGAGTGGTGCATAGTCTTATTTTGTTTGGGAATAACAAATTGTGGAATATTTTTAAGGAAAACAGTTATATAAAACTCTGCCATAGTAACCTTAGACCTTAGGGAGGTAACTTGGAGTGAAACCTTAGCTGCAGTATGGTAATTGGAGGAGCTCTATGTCAAAGTCAGGGGAATAACAGTACAGAGCTAAGAGTGACATCAGATAAGGACTGTGGGACTCAGACTTGAAGACCCAATAAAATACTGAACTTTTATTATAAGGTAGTAAGTGAAGGGGTCTTGATTTTCATTTTCACTGCCAAGCCAGTTCTGTGAAGGATCGAAGCCTCTGTGCTTTGCCGTTGGCCCTCGCATCAGGAAGCAAGGCCTTCCCTGCTGTTCCCAGAATGCTGTCCTTTTCCTTCCTGGGTCTAGCCGTCTCAGCTGTGGGTCGATGTGGGTAAATTAAGGTAAAGGAGTTGAAATTCTGCAGTCCAGTTACACACAGAGAAGTATTGTGGAACCATTAGACCCCAGGTGTCTTGAAATGTTTCTAGAAAACCCACTAAAATGCCCACTTCTCTGGGTGTCAGCCTTTTTGCTGCTGTCTCATGGCATGAGCTATGGTGCACAGAAATGGGGGTTCTCCTTTGGTTTTCATTTTATCCCCAAATGGCAGCTTTCCTTTCATTGTTTTATCTTCCTATTTCCTAAAGAATTCCTCTTATTTTGTCTTTAGCACCCGTTTCTGGAGGCCTGTGTCATCGCAAAAAGGATAGTCTCTCCCCTAACTGTCAAACCTGTGGATGATTCCACAAAGACACAGTATTATTTAGCTATCAGAATTATGATAGAAAAGATCTTAGTATGTTCCTATACAAAGCATTTGGAAGATGACCTTGTTGTCCTAAAGAACTTGAAAATGGGGCTAGGATAGAGACATTGACTGTCTTTCATGGTCATAAGCAGGTTCTTATAGCATTATCCAAACTCTAGCTGTTTTAATGGTTTTCTGAGGATTGCAAGTCATAGTGTGTTTGACATACCTATCCATTTCTCTCATCTCCATTCTCAGTTTCTTCCCCACAAAATTTTGAATCGAAGCTTTTATGATGTTGGATAATCACAAAACTTATTTAGCAGAGATTAATTTGACCCTTATAGAAATGAGAGAAGCCCAAAGCCTCTTAGAAATTTTAACCTTGAAATTCTTTTCAATATGTCCCATTTTTTTAGGTGGGAGTGGCAGGTTTTTTTTGTTTTGTTTTGTTTTTTAGTAAGTAAATGAGTCATTTTTACTACAATAAAAATTTAAAACTAGGCCTTTTGACATTGTGTGCTTGATGGTTCTGTCCCTCGGCCTGTGACAAATTTCATTTTTGTTATGAGAACTGTGTAAAGAAGTAAATCCGCCCCAGTTCTGTATGATTTAATTCCATCTGTGTTTGTCATCTCTGATTGGAAGACTTCTTACTTCCAGACCTTGTTTAATATGGAGGAAACACAATTGAATTGTCTCATAAGTCTGCCAATAAACTGTCCAGAAACTTCAGGTGTAATAGTCCCCAATATATTCATTTTATGTTTTGTATAAACACTAACATTTCCCTTTCTGTAGTTGTATGAAAAACAAATATTCTTGGCACAGTAGAGAAATTGTTATAAAACACCAGAGAGGGAAAAAAATCTGTATTTTTTAACTGAGAACAGCCAATACCCCAAGTAAATGACTATATTGGGATTTAAATTGCATATTAAATCACAGAGTTGTTCATAACCTAGATTAATTCATATAAGAAAATATTGGTCATTCCTCATTAGCATAGCTGTTGATATGTGTCCAATTATTTGCTTTTGAAAATTATAATTATGTAAAATTACATTTTTTTTTTCCAGGAGAAAAAAAAAAATCAAACACAGAGAAACAACTAAGTTATCCTTTTCTATTTTTTTTTTTTTTTAACCACTTTTGGGTTTTCCCCCTTGCAAAAACCACAGAAATATTCCTTTAGAATAAAATAGTATATTTGTATTTGATGGGTGAGTTACTCTTTTTCTTTATAATTTTCTTGAAATAATTTAAAATATTTTTTTTCTGTTTGACCATATTGGTATGACCAACAGATGGTATATAACAAAGAAAGCAGTTTTCATAAAATAAATTATTTGGTATTTACTCAGTCCAGTAAACATATTGTTTCATTACAGTCTTTTTGGTTGTTTTCTTTCTTGTATCAAAAGACTTGTTCCCATTTTTAGTTAATTTATTAACTTATATTCAAAACCCTGAGAGCTAGAAATATCAGGTATATTGTATATATTTCATTTCAGGCAAACTTTTTTGAGATTTACAAAGCTTGCATCCATTCAGTTTATTCAATTTTGAAATTGTGAAATTAGGATAAAGAATATATCCAATTTTAAGAATATTTACATATTTAATTTGGGAATGTGGGGCTAAATGGTATTTTCCTTAGATTTTAGAGCTATCTTTACTATACCTTCAATTCCATATAAACTTTCTATTAAACTGCCCTTGTAGCATTACTAATTTTGTAAAATAGAACTTTTCTAAAAAGTCCAAAGTAAAATGAATTTTTGCTAATGAATCCCAGTTTTCTGTTAAATTCAGAATTTAATTTTCCATGTTGGAAAGGTTCCCTATGGTACTGAGTTGAAATTTTAGGAAAGAATTAAGCAAGAATACCCCCAATTCTTCTTGTCCATCATCATCATATGTTACTATCATTGAAAAAATACAAGAGGTATTGTTTCAGAATGGAAGATCCAAGGTTTTGAATGCTAGTTTTTTTACTTACTGGTTGTATAGCTTATAAATTATTTAACCTCCCTATGCCTCAGTTTTTCCTCACAAAGTGGAATAATAGTAATTTATCATTTATGCCTGGCTTTCAGATGTTAAGTAAAGATATATGTTCCCCTATATTCACTGCAGCTTTATTCACCATAGCCAAGATATGGAAACAACCTAATTGTCTTTCAACGAACAATTAAAGCTGTGATCCATATATACAATGGAATACCACTCAGCCATATAAAAGTAGAATGTGTTACCTTTTAAACAGAAGAAAATTATCCATTGCTACTCCGTGGAAAGCAGCAGGGAGGTGGGGAGGGGAGTACAGTAAGTAGAAATTGCGAAATAACAGCAGAAATAAGTTCTAAATTACAATGAATGTAAACATCTTAAATTTAACTGAAGACAGATTCTCACCCTTATTTTCCCATCTTTATTTACTTGCCCTTCTCTGCATAGAGACATTAGTGTTTGAGGAAGTGAGAGCATGGAGGAGGTGCTGTGTGCCTGGAGCCATGGAAGCCCGCTGGTGAGAGGTGCCTCAGAGAAGCAGCGCAGCATCAGAGCAAGTGAGGCAGTGAGTGGCTGGGGTGGTTAGGAGACTGATCACACTGTGCAAATAAGTTAAATGATTGAGAAATAAGTATACATATATTGAGCATAATGGGAGCCAGATTTCTCCCTGTTTGAGAAAGGATTTATGAATGTGGAAAGGGAGAAGGCTAGGAAGAACCCTGAGGTGTTGAGTTGAAATTGGGAGAGTTGGTTTGACCTCATAGGTTTAGACAGACAGATATAGTTGTATATAGTGATAAGAGTATATATATAAAAGGGTAAGTGACCATTTGACTGTCTGACCGGCTGGTAGGTATGACATGCACTGACCACCAGGGGGCAAATGCTCAATGCAGGAGCTGCCGAGCCGCAGTGACTTGGCAGTGATGGTTCTTGGGTGACACACCCGGGAATCGGAGAAGAGGGAACCCGATTCCCCGTGGGCCCGTGCGATTCCACCTTTGGCCGTGGGTTATGTTGTTGCTGGGACACTGTCAGCCCCGAATCTGGTTTACTGCACACTGTGTTTGCGTTCCACCCCATATGACAGCAACTTTGCAGATTGCCCTCTCCCACTCGGACCCCTCCAGGTATGTTGGAGAGCCAGTTTTGGCCTGTTTCCCTCAAGCCAAGCTGAGAGACCCCACCTGCCGTAGGGATCCCACTCACTCTGCTGCTGTGCCACCCCAGTTGCTGCCAGCTGGGAAGGGATCATGGGGAGGTTGAATCCAGGGCATGTACGGCCCATTTTGCTCAGGCCCGTCTCCCCCAGTCCCGCCCCACCTGCCACCATCTAATTAATATTCTTTCAATGTGCGCAAATCTGTGCACCAGGTCACTAGTGTGTATATGTATTTTATGGATTGATTGATTGATTGATTGATTGATTGATTGATTCTATCCACTGACATGGTATAGAAACAGTTTTACCTTGGTAGCAATGAGCCATATCAAGAACTCTTGCATGAGGGCTCACTGACTAATTCTAAGACGGGGGAAAGAAAAGATGATCCTGGAATACCTTTTGAGTATGTAAATGCTTTAAAAAAAAAAAAAAATAGGGCCGTATCAGAAGGAAATAGGAGGCAGACAGAAAAGGCTTCCATTGGTTAAATCTAGGACAATTTGTGTATCAGAGTACAACCTAATGAATAAAATAGGAATTCATGGGTTGATTTTGATATAAATGAGTAAAAAATTTAAGACTGGATAAATTTAAAAAATCTAACAAGGGTAAAAGTGATATAAAACATTATTAGACAAATATTAAGAAATATTGGGTTAGCAATATTCATAGTATTGGATAAAAAAGGATTTAATGCAAAAAAAGTGGATTACATACTGATGAATTAATAAAAAATTATAAATATGGATATTACTATACTTCATAAACAACCTGAA